CAAAAAAGCTGTCCGTCCATCGACCATGAAATATATCATCTCGCCAAATTGGAACTGAAGAAGTCTTACTATTGAGGGATGAAGTGACGATGGCACGCACGATTCGCACGAAGTGAGAGAGCGTTCACCATTGAGCAGTGAGTCTTGCCATCACCGTAGAGATGATGAAGCATTGCTGGCTACCCGTACCTGGTACCATGTACTTACGACTGATCAATTATTAATATTTTTTATGTTTGTATCCAATCCACCAAGTCTTGCTTCGAAGTGGGATTCCTTGACTACATCGACTGAAATATTTGATTCGTTTTTATCGTTGGTGTGTAGGTAGAGTTCCTACCAGCACTATAAACGGATAGACTGGACCAACTGTCGATTACAAAAATCCGCAAACGAAAACTCGCCGATTCCAAATCTCACATTTAATGAAAATCAACTTTGAATATCGGTCAACCTGTCCAATTTCGAAATTTACTTATGGCAGACAATTGAAATTCAAGCGCCACAATTTTGAAATTCGACAACGAGATTTTCAATATTTTTTGTCAAGCACAACGGCAGTATCATTCAGGATACGAAGCCATACCTTCTGATTCAAACCTAGATGAACCAACATCATTCACACATCTATATTTCCTCAGCTCCATACCAATAACATGTCATCAAATAGCTCCACATCCAAATGCTCATCTTCTTCCCGATGCAGGGGAGATCATGCTTCTATCATGGAAGCCCAACGGCCATCACCTCCGTCTTCCTTGAATCGAATGCATTCCGCAAGTCCCAGAAGACGGAATGGTAACAACTTTCATCCACTATCCACTCCTAATTCTTTTGAGAACGACTTTCCCCGCTTGCTCTTCCTTGATGAAAGTAAGTCCAATATTTTGAATTTTTGAATCATAGCGACGCATTTTCTAAACTTGCTGCTGCTTTCCTTTTACATCAGATTGCGAAGACGAAGAAATCGACACTTTCAAAATTCAGAGGAAGCTATTGAGACGGCGATACGTCCGAAGAGAACAAAACAAGAAGAAACGACAACGCGAAATGGAAAATGCTAGACAAATGGCACTTGAAACCGAAAAACATCAAATTCAACCAATCTTAAGCACTAAGGAGCCAACGGCTGTACAATACACTGACAGTGAAGATAGCATGGAACAGGCCGAACAAAAGCAACGCTTGCTACTATCGCCTTCTTTCCGTATGTCTTGTGGGATGACCAGCCCATGCTATTCTCCAGCATTCAATCTCCCATGCTTTTCTCCGCTTCGTCCAACCAAACGCCAAAACACACGGGTCACTCATTGAACGGGCAATATAAGAATGAATTCCAAGGGATGGTAGCATGTATCAATGGCAATCAATATATAGACTTGGGGTCCTGCTATCTGTGGAGTGGTATCCATAGCTATTTGCCACTCTACATGCCTATATAAGAGATTACTCATAATCAGGTATACTACTACTAAAGGAAAATCTTTGTCCAAATGTAAAAGGACAATATTCTCATCTTCTCTTGAAATAAACCAAACTTGAAAGGAGAAAACAGGATGCAGAAATCCCCAATGCAACTGAAAGAGTGTTCTCCAAAACATTCAATTCATCTTCTCCTAGGGATTCAATCCAACTCGATGAAGATGGCTCGGCAGCTTTCGTTTTTACCTGCCGTGTTGATACCTTGCCTTTCTTCGTCTTATTAGCAAGCGAATTTTGTGGTCCGGCTACATCTTCGATATCAATTGCTTCATTTCTCTCGTCCTTGTCGATCTTCTTCACCAGTTGGCCACAAGCACTCGCAATATCGGCTCCCATAGTTCTTCGGATGGTGCAGAAGGATCCATAAGAGGCAACAATGTCTCGAAATTCTTGCAAGTGAGCGTTCGATGGACATCGAAGTTTATCTCGGACATCTGTCGAATTGTATGGAATCAAGTTGACCACCAAGTGACGATTTTCGCATAGCTTTCCAAGCTGATGGGCGCATTCGAAGGACGAAGTCTCGCCTTCCACTGTCAAAACACAACGATTGCAACAAGCTGTTAGTGAGGTTTCTTCCGAAATGTAGAGAAATATCGCAATTTGAGAAAGTTCCTTACGCATCACGTATTCGATCATGGCACGACGTCTAGAACTTTCTTTGATTCGTTCTTCGACTGTAATTCCTTTGTCGTTTTGTCGATCTCCCAAATAGGCCGTCATGTGACCGTCAAGCGCATCGATCAATTCTTCAATCGGGTACCGAGCTGCAGTGGGTACAATCGCTGTGCGAGCATCCTGATTGGGAGCATGCAATGAAAGCGCCAAGGACACCTCAGGAAGCTCTTTGGTCAGCTTTCGGATCTGGGAAACGAGACCAACGGTTGAGATTGTCACACGTCCATGCGCCATATTCCATCGTCTCCTGTCCATCATCGACCGAGCAGCCCCTACAACGTTGGAATAATTATCAAGAGGTTCGCCCATTCCTACAAAAAAATCACCGTGAGACATCAGAGTTCATTCAGCGAGTCGGAAATCAGACATTATTTGTCGCACCCATGAATACAATAGATCGAACGAAATCCACCCTCTTCGATTTGTCTTCTCGTAAGCCAAACTCCTCCGCTAGGATACCGTCGGCATGGATCAATTGCTCTAGAATCTCCCCGGTGGTCAAGTTTCCTGACAATCCCATGGTCCCAGTTGCACAGAACGTGCAACCCATAGCACAACCAACCTGAGACGAGACGCATAGGGATGCTCTGCCGTCTCCTTTTCTTTCGTATCGCATGAGAACAGTTTCAACAACCATTCCGTCATATAGTTCAATTATTAGTTTCGTGGTAGACTTGTCCATTGAGGTGTGTCTTTCCTTTATCGTTGACGTCTTGGTGACGAAATCGTTTGTCGTTTCCAGAAACTGAAGAAGTTTCTTTGGCAGATTGAGCTTGTTGCGATTCTTCCGCTTGGTAATCTTTTGTCTCTGAGGTTTTTCATTCTCAACAACGACATTCTTCTCATTCTCGTAATATCTTTTGACAAAATCAGGAAGGGAAGGATAGTGCTCTCGATGCAGTGCTTGGTAGAATGCGTCAACATGCACTTGTTTCAACGAAATTCCAGCCTCGTCGAGTGCTTCCAGAAAACATGGACGGTCTAGAATCGACCTTGGAAACGGAGCTTTCCGACGTCCTCGGACCTTTCCTTCGTAGCCCATCTTCAAACGTGATGACGCAAAGTATAGTGTGTTGTTCTTTGAGAAAAAATGGATGGAGAAATGATGAAACGTGCCACAGACAGACCCGCTGACTGTACTGAAATGGTTTGCTTGTTTTCATGTGGTAGATTGGAGTTTGTCGACGGAAAATGAAGGACAGAACTTATGAAGCTATATGACAGATGACATTGCGTCGTTTCTTCAGACAATAGGATATACAATATGCTTTTATTCATTTACTCAATAACAATTTCCTTTGTGGAAGTCTCGGCGAAAAGACTGATATCAACAGGCGGTCGAAGCTTGCAGCACTCTTCAACGGCTTGGTGGACTCTGTGGGTCTCGAAGTCCTTGATAAGGTCTTCGTTAACTGGTACGCCGTTGTCGACAGCAGTGTATGCAAGTTGATCCAAGATGTAGTCGAAGCGAGGAGCCCACTTTCGTGATCCAGTCTTGGCTGTGAAGGAGCAGTTATCAACCATGAATGCAACACCCCGGTAGTGCATGTATGGGCAAAGGGAATCAACGGCCTCAATAACAGATTCGTTGACAACCTCGGAGTAAGGGTGGCCTTCCTCAAGGAGCACATCGATTTGAGCCATCATGGTGGCAACGTAGACACCAGCGGTGAAGGGGTTCAATGGGATGTTATCCTCGTCACGGTTGGCACGAACCTTCTCTCCGACAGTCCAAGTGTCGGTTCCATCGATCTTACCGACAGGGTACTCGGAAGTACGAGCACCGTGCATGATAACGGTTCTGATTTCGTTTCCAGAAGAAACCTCATCGTAGATTTCTTGAAGGATTTCCTTAGCAGGCTTGTAAGAAGCAGAGTATGCAGTTTGGAAAGTCTTTTTGTCCTCGCCCTCAAGTCTTTCGTAAACAGCCTTGATACCTTGGGTGGAGATGATCTTGACGATATTTCCGGTAATAGATTCGCAAGATTGAACAAAGGCATCTTCAGCGGTCATGCCTTGTCTTTGGTAACGGCGGTACAAGGATTCAACAATTCCGTGGACGGCTCCCAAAAGGATTCCACGCTCTCCATAGATATCGGAGCAGTATTCAGAGCGAAGGGAAGTCTCGAACAAGAAAGGAGATCCAACACCAATGCCCCATCCAAGAGCGAGGTCAGTGGCCTTTCCGCTGACATCTTGGTGGACAGCGAAAGAGGAGTTGATTCCGGCTCCGTTGACTTCCTTACCTTGTTCGTAGAGACGACGGACGGAAGGTCCCATACCCTTGGGGCAGACGGCGATAACATCCATATCAGCTGGGAATTTCTCGCCAATGGAATCAAGGTGTCCCAAAAGGAATCCGTGGGAAAGGCCAAGGGTAGCACCTGGCTTCATGGCGGCGAAGATTTCCTTGTGAAGGTTAGCTTGGGCGGCATCAGAGATGAGCAACATAACCAAGTCAGATTCCTTGATAACATCGAACATTTCTCCAAGGGTATCGTCTTCCTCGCTGAATCCGCACTCGCGGGCCTCCGCGAAGGAAGAAGATCCCTCACGAAGTCCGACCTTGACGACAATGTCGGTACCAGCTGCCGCAAGGGAGTCCTTCAAGTTTTGTCCTTGAGCAGGAGCTTGGGATCCCCATCCGATAACACCAATTTTCTTGATTCCCTCGAAGGCCTTTGGAAGCAAGGGGAAGAGATCACGTCCTCCCTTCACAATTGTTTCCTTGGTCTCTCCCAATTGGACTTCTTGTGTGGTGAAAATTTCAGACTTGAAACTGTACAAAACATAGAAAAGTATCGAGTGAGAAATGCAAGAGGTGGAAGAAAATGATTGCTCGTTGCACCACCACAGGTGAATTTTGGATGACGGAATCACTTGAGAGAAAACAAAGAAAACTCAGTTGTGCAATATGATTCCGGATGCAGCTTATTCCTCACAAACATTCGGAAGAGGGAGCTATTGTTTCATCACCGTAATCTTTCTTCTCTCTCTTCTTGACCGTGTGCATTTGTCGTCCATTTCAAAAAATCTTCAGAAAAGGAACTTACGCCATTTGTTGGGTGGAGGAGACTCCGGCATTCTTGCTCACGAAAGCAGGTGGAGCAAAGGCTGTGGCGGATGCCACAAAGAGAGCGGAGGCAAGGGCTGTGAACTTCATGGTGTTGTGATGATGATGTTATGAGCCGTCGAAGAAAAGTCGGGGAAAGGTTTTGCTTGAACTTTTCTTGGGTTGGAAGGACCCCATCACCGAGGAATGGCGGCAAGACGGTTGATGGCAGTGGTCTACGGTAGTTCAACGTGGAAATAATGAGAATGCAAATTTCTCTCACAGCCACAAGATTTGAAAATACGGACGACGGCTTCTCCCATCAACCAAACATCACAACATGGATTTTTTCATTTGGATTGATTCGATTCGACTACTGTGATTCGACTACTATGACTTTGCAATGATACCGGTATGATGATTTGGCAAATGAAATCATGGTCGGTCATCAAGTCTCCATTACGTCAACCATACCGTTATAGTTGGCGTAGTTACACAATCGCTTCTAACAGCAAAGATTATAATCAATGGGTTCCATGCAAATAAAATATACAATAGCTTTTTTTTTAATTTTAAAACATGTTTACTTGGCTTGAGCAAAAGTCATTTCGGCGACTTCAACAGCGATCTTTCCATCAACGTATCCCTTTGCGGTAGCCTTACAGATTCCAAATCTCTTGTTGAACTTCAAAATTTCTACTTCCATTACAAGAACATCTCCAGGAACAACAGGTTTCTTCCATTTGACACCATCGGCACCTCCGAAAAAGAAGATGGCTCCAGGTTCTGCTCCGTCCAAACCAGCCATGACAACTCCAGCAAGTTGGGCCATGGCCTCTACTTGAAGAACTCCTGGCATGATTGGCTTACCGGGGAAGTGCCCATTGAAGAATTCCTCGTTTTTGGTAACGCACTTGATTCCAACAGCCTTCTTGCCAGCTTCAATTTCGACGACCTTATCGACAAGAGCGAATGGGTATCGATGCGGAAGGAAGTTGTCGACATCTTCAGTAGTGTAGACAGTGCTGACGGTAGAGGTCAAGGCAGAGATGGCTGCAGCACCCATCATTTCAGAAGCCTCTTCGGCTGCTTCGGCCTCTTCGAACAGAGTTGTTGTGGATGTGGCAAAGCTATTGGTGGATGGGGCAACGAATGCGTTGGCACATGCCAATGATGCAAGGAGGAGTGCGATCTTCATAATTGATTGAATCTATAGATAGCAGTCACTGGAGGAGTATGCAGCGGTTTGTGACGGTCGCTGTGAATTTAAACGAAAATCGAGGTGGCTCATTTCGGATCTTGTCCATTGACCGTTATCTGATATCTGATGGAGGCTCGATTTTAGAGGGGGTATGATGTGCTACTGACGTATGTAGTGAATCCCAATCACGAGTTATGTCTTGTCTGATTGGCTGAGCAAGTAAATCTGAAATGCGGGACTCAAATTGTTGACGTGTGTCGTGTGTTTTCGTACGTTTTGAACGTTTGGGATGGTGTACGTAGCTTTTTGACAGACCGGTATTGTCGACATCAACTTTGGCTCGAGGATATTCGGCTTGGGTCTTTGTTTTTCTCACCTACAGTACCATCATACCGGTATTCGATATTCAAAATGGCCAGATTTGCTGTTGCTCTGCTCTGCCTCTTGGCATTTCAATATGAGGTATCTGCCTTTGGAGTTGTGAAGCAGTCTCCTTCGGTCAACTATGGATCGCAATCTTCGACTCAGCTATTTGCTGAAGGTGCCAAGATTTTGATGCCTGCTTTGTCTTCTACAATGAAAGAAGGAAAGGTTGTTTCTTGGTTGAAGAGCGAGGGAGATGAAATCGAAGCCGGTGAAGCCATCATGGTTGTTGAAAGTGACAAGGCCGACATGGACGTCGAGGCATTCGAAGATGGTTTCATTGCCAAGATCATTGTCGGAGAGGGTGAGATCGCCCCTGTTGGAGAAGCTGTTGCCCTCATTGCAACTTCTGAAGATGATATTGCAGCTGTCGCTGCTGGAGGTGTTGGTGAAACAGCCGCTCCCGCCGCTACTGAGGAGGCAGCTCCTGCTGGAGGTGAGTCTGTCGAAACTACAGAAATTTTCATGCCAGCCCTATCCTCCACCATGAGCGAAGGCAAGGTCGTCGAATGGCTCAAGAAAGAAGGCGACTACGTGGAAGCTGGAGAAGCTCTCATGGTTGTGGAGAGTGACAAGGCTGACATGGATGTAGAAGCCTTTGAAGACGGCTACCTTGCCAAGATTGTGAAGGGAGAGGGCGAGATGGCTGATGTTGGTGCTCCTGTTGGTATTCTTGTGCCCGACGAGGCCTCTCTTGCAATGTTTGTTTCTAAACCAATTTCATTGTCGCCACCCGTTACCACAGGAGCATCAGCTGCTGGCCCGCCAGATGTTGAATTCAGCCAAATTGATATGCCTGCTCTTTCGTCCACCATGAAGGAAGGAAAGGTTGTCTCCTGGCTCAAGGCTGAAGGTGATCCGATTGAAGCTGGTGAAGCCATCATGGTTGTCGAAAGTGACAAGGCCGATATGGATGTAGAAGCTTTCGATGAAGGTTTCCTTGCCGCTATCATTACTGAGGAAGGAGACAGTGGAGCCGTCGGTGCCCCAGTTGCACTCATCGCCGCCAACGAGGCAGACATCCCTGCTCTCAAAGCATATGCAGCATCCCTTTCTGGCGCCCCTGTACCTGCTGCTGCCGCCCCTGCTGGAGCTGCGGCACCTGCTGCTGCTGCTGCAGCCGCTCCAAAGAAGGTTGCTGCAGCACCAGCTGTTGCTACTGGAGACCGTGTTGTTGCTTCTCCAATGGCCAAGAAGTTGGCTGAAGAAAAGGGTATTGATATTTCGACCGTCGCAGGAACTGGACCCAACGGAAGAGTCACTGCCGGTGATGTTGAAGCAGCATCCGCTGGTGGTGCTTCTGCCCCAGCCAAGAAGGCTGCTGCTCCAGCAAAGCCTGCATGGACTCCAGCGCCAGGTGTCATTGCTGCAACTCCTATGGCTCGTGTTGCTGCCAAGAAGGCTAAGCTCGATCTTTCTACCATCCAAGGAACCGGATCTTTTGGACGTGTCACCCTTGATGATGTCAAGATGGCCACTGGGGAGAAACAACCCGAACGTAAGAAGAGCGCTGCGACTGGAGCTCCTGCCCCAGAACTTCCAGAAGGCTTCGTACCTTTCACTGGCATGCAAAAGGCTGTCAGCAACAATATGGTTGGAACCCTCACTGTTCCTGCCTTCCGTGTCAGCACTGACATTGAAATGACTGCCTTCGAAGCCCTTTACCAAAAGGTCAAGCCAAGTGGAATCTCTGTTTCGGCTTTGATCGCAAAGGCTGTCGCCCTTGGTATTGAGAGGCACCCCATCATCAACAGCGCATACTCTGCCCAAGATGGCGGCGGTACTCTCTTCAAGAAGGACATCAACATTGCTATGGCTGTCGCCATTGATGGAGGTCTCATTACCCCAACTCTGAACTACGCCAACGAGCGACCAGTAGCTGAATTGGCTGAGAACTGGAAGGAGCTTGTCGGAAAGGCCAAGAGCGGAACTCTCTCCTCCGCTGAATACACCAGCGGGACATTCACTATTTCCAATATGGGTATGTTCGGTGTCACGGACTTCGGATCTCTTCTTTCCGAAGGACAAGGAGCAATCCTCGCCGTTGGTGGTACTCAAGACGCTGTTGTTCCATGCAGTCAATCAATTCTTGGATTGAAAAAGGTTCGCAAGATGACCATCACACTCACATGTGATCACCGTCAAATCTATGGTGCTGATGCAGCCCTCTTCCTACGAACTCTCAAGAACATCATGGAAAATGAACTAGACAAGGTTTCTGCCTAGGAGAGGACATAACCGCTACATAGTATACTAGATGCTGTAATATCAAACCCTTTTCTTTTCGCTGGCTGTTGGTCTATCGTCGTCGCAGTGAGTTAAGCTTGTCCCCAAGCGGATCGTCTTGGTCACTCGTCGAAACATCAGAAAACTCTCCTGGCTCCTCATTCATTGAAACTGAAAACGATGTTGCCGCAGCACCGACCGGTATAGAGCAGCGTTGAAGGACGATTAGAAGGTCATCATCTGGTTGAACACCGTTCTCTTGCATGGATATCAGTGCATCTTGCGCTAGCCCCTCCTTTCCTTCAACAGCACTCTTGGAGAGTGCATCTAGGTACACAAGATAGGTATTTTGGTCTGGCTTCACGCTTGTTGCCCCTGCTCCAGCCAGTTCATGCATTTCGTCTAGCAACGCTTTCGCTCTCAGCACCGCGCGAGGATCGTCAATATTTGAACCCCAAGCCCGGATTGCAGACGTATACGCAACGACACTTGGCATGCAGTCAGAAGGACCCGAGTGGAAGTAATCCCTCATCAGCTCCAAGTAACGATCAACCTTGCTGGCAGCATCTGCACCCCAATCGTTTGATAGCGTCGCAATGACAGTATCAAATGTTTCACCGTCTGGTTTGACATCTAGTTGCCCGCTGTTACTAAGCTTTTCCATGCGCTTGAAGATACTATCAGCCCTCCATGGTGCCATCGGACTTCCAGACTTTGACCACGACGAAATGAGATTGTTGAAGGTTTTTGTATTTGGTTTCGAATTCACGTCTCCGGCGAGGTACTTTTCATGCATTTGATTGAGAATTGCTTCTGCTTGTAGTGCATCGCCTCCCTGCGCTGCAATCAGAGCATTGAAAAGTATGGTGGTTTTGTATTCAACGGGAGTATTGTCGAAAACAGTCTGTGCCATCAAGGTCGCATCATCCCTTCCGCTATTTGCATACGCTTTTATCAAGGAAGCGTAGATTTCGCTATCTATCTTGAATTCCTCCTCTCCCATGTCATGTCGCTGTTTAATCTTCCGGATATGCCTCTGAATACGCTCTGGTGCTTCATTCATATGAGATGTGGCCCATGCACTGATAACAGACTTATAACCTTCATAAGTTGGTCTAAGGTGAAGGTCACCATCATCTGACAATGCTTCTGCAAAGTGTAGCAATCTTTCTGCACGCTCCGTTGAACCATCCATATCTGCAAATGCCCAACAATCAATAGCCTTTTGGAATGCTTGAAAAGTTGGTTGTGCCAAACGACCTTCTTCGTACAACTCCTGCATTTTCAATAAAGTCATTTCCGCACTACTTCCAGCATTCGAGTCCCTGCTTTGCACTAAAGCATCGAGAACAGAGTAGATCAATTCAGCGTCAGGTGTATCGTCATCGTTGACTTGCGACTGTTCGAGTAAGTGGTGCAGAATAGCATGGTCTCGTATCGCATTTCGAGGTTCACTTTTGCACAATGCTGCAAGAATACTCGTGCTTGGAAAGAAATCTGGATCCTCACTGTTTTCGGATTGGATTTGATTGAGTTGGGTCCATAGATCATGGACCTTCTCGTGTTCGCCAGCATCTGCATAACCCTTCATGATGGGCCCGAAACACCGTGCCGTTGGTTTTATCGAGGAACCACTTTCATTGAAACCATGAACCATTGCTAGTAAGACTCGGTGAGCAGTATGCATTTCGTTGATATTCACAAGTGCAGAAATTGTACTGTAGTAAGTGTTTGGAATTTTGTCGCTTCCAGCACCGTGAGAAAGACCTTTCCCCATGCTGCTCAAGAATATTTCCAAACGTTCAAAGTTACCAAGGAATGCAAATGTATCGAGGGTATGAGAGATGGTGGCTTCCGTTAATCGTCGATCTGCATAGGAAACTCGCTCAGTAATCAAATCAAGAACACTTTCGGCGCGGGTCGCGGCCTTCGGTAAACCACTTCTCGCCAATGACTGGGCGAGAAAGGCGTAAAGTTCAACATTTGATCCGCTTTTCAAAAGATCGTCTGCTCTTCGCTCCAGCTCTTTGAGGCATGATTCGAGTCGTTCTGATGCTTCTGCGGAGCCATCGGCCTGCCAAAGTTCCAATACAATTTCAAAGCATGCCTTTGTCGTTTTGGTATTCTGATACCTATTTGGCTCTGCAAGGTATCGGTGAAGGATTTGTTCCGCTTGCTGAGGGGCGTCCGCTAACGTTGACTTTTGCCAAAGCTTAAGCGCCTCTTCATAAAGGCGGGAACGAAGATGCTGGTTGCTTGTGTTTCCATTTCTGATGCCACTGTCCATCATGTCCAACAGCTTCAACGTTTTCTTGGGTCCATCACCAATGCATGATAAACACTTCATTGCACTCAGAGCGGTAACTATCGACGGTGCGGCACCAGGGTTGCTTGAAGCCTGAGCATTCATACGGCTGATGATCTCATCAACCTTTGCTTCAGCCAAATTCGACCCACTTGACGCCCAAGCATTGATGACGATGTTGAACGGAATCTCATTGAGTTCAACATGCGAATTCCTCGCTTTGACATCGAGTAAGAGATCTAAAATGGCATGTGCTCGTTCTGGCGCCTCATCGACGGTACTTCTTTTCCACGCGGATATGACATTGACAAATGACAGAAGAGATGGAACAAGTTTCGGGTTGTACTTGGATTTTGCAATCATTTGTCTCAGCTTTTCCTCTGCCTTTACAGGAGCCTCTGGCAAGTCACTTTTGGACCATAACGAGATCAGAAGATAGTATGCACCCGGAGTGACACTGGTGGTATTTTCCATCATTTCATCGAAGATAGTTTCTGCCCGAGTTGGTGCAATGGGCAACCCTGATCGTTCCCATGCAGCAATAACTGATGTATATAGACTTGCTCGTGGTTCACCTACTTTCGGCTTGTTTCGTTTGGACGATGCCAGCATTTGTTGCAGCCAATACTCGGCACGTTCTGGAGCAGATAGATCATCACTCTTGGCCAGTAAATTTATCGTATTGGCATAGGCAGCTCCTTCTGGCGCTATTTGCGGGTATCGCTTGGCCTTTTCTTCCACCACAGTCATCAAAGCATCTGCCAGCTGAGGTGTGGATTTCCGCTGCTTCACCTCATCACCAAGACAAAATGAAAGGGCCAAGCTCAGAAACTGCGAGTTGGGAAGTCTGCCTTTCCTGCTTAGCATATCACCCAATACGCGATTCATGTGAGGCACCGCTTCTTCATTTTTCCAGCCACTAGTCAACAAAGACTCCAGAGCTCGAGTTAACGACTTGACGTTCGGTTGCATCGTTCGATCCGAGGAGTTCACCATGTGATCAAAAATGGCTAAGGTGGACAATGTGAAATCTTTCCCTTGACCTCTTACATGGGCGTCCATCAAGTTTGTCAGTGCAATGGAATTGGGAGGTGCTGAGGAACCTGGTTTCATTCGGTTCAGAATTTCGGTGCAAAAGGTTGGGCTTCGAGATGGGTCTAGTTTTGTTTGCACTGCCATGATCATGGCATAAGTCTTGGTATCTGGCCGTAGCGTTGGAATGCGAACGCAAAAATCATCAATCATAGCCAATACTTTCGGTGCCGAATACTTTTTTCGATGAACTACATTGTATCGCGTCCCTATCCTCCATTTGTTGACAATAATGTTCAAATGTTCTGTATTCATACGAAACTCAGGATTCCTTTCTGCCATCAACACCATACGTTCCAGTAAGGAAAATGATAACCGAATAATGTCACTGGTATGGGAAGGCTGCCGAGATAGTGCGTGTAAATACTTTTCGGCTAGTCTCCAGTCTTTCATTTCCCATGTGATTGATTCTGGTGATGTTCGAAGTAACTCATTCGTTCGTTCAAACATTATCTGTGACTTCGTAATCCTCTTTGGGGCTGCAGGTGCAGACTCTGAAGATGTGGTGGAACTGAATGAAACTGATAGCATGGAGGATGTCACAGAAGGTGGGGGCAAGAGAATGGACGGCTGAGAAATTGGATGTTGCGCCCGCGAAGCATATCCAAGCGGAGTTAGCGAAGAGCGTCCAGGGACCGCCTGGAGTCTGCGATAATGCCGTGCTGATCTCCACATTTGATTGAGGACTGTGTAGGTTATTATCATGTACTGGTTGGTACTCATATTAATAGTCCTTTACGAGTTTTCATTTTGTGTTTTGAATCCATGCGCGGTCGAATGCGCAGTTTCATGAGTTTAGTCATTTTGGTCGTTTGATGACAATCCACAAATTCGATTCATTTTCCGACGACTCATCTCTCAAAATGAAATGTTGAATGAATGAGGCAGCTTCAATATCTGCCTTTCGATCGAAGAGGCTGGAGCAATTCAGACAAAACCTCACAACCTCGATTATAAAAGTACTAGAAGATGCTTCAGTGTCAAGATCTTCCTTCGTCACAAGCTACAACGTCAAATTACTGACAGAACAGTTCGTACAAAATGTTGATTGGCCAGCGCTCTGTCGCCATCACGACGAGTTGTGTGCTAGACGAAATACAGCAGGATCGACTCCTTTGCAAGAGATATGCGATATTTTGGGTCAATTACTTCCTTTTGCTTGCAATCTTGTCACGATTCGTGTGTTGCTTTCAGCTCTCTTGCATTCGTCTGAGCAGCATAAGGAAGCTACCACTACGCGGTTTCTTCCCTCACAAGAAGTGCTTCAAGCAAAGATTGTTCATTTATTGAACCGCTGTCCCTCCATCCCTTGTAAATCTGCGTTTCGAGGGGTACTCAATACAACAAATTTGGCTGCCCGCCAGCTGAATCTCTTGGTCTCGATTGCCTATCAGTTGGCCCAAGACTGCAACCGCTATCGAATTGATATGGTAGAAGTTATGATTCAAGTGACTAGACTCCTCGACGACAAACTGAAAGAATCTATATCGATTAGAAATATGGCTGCAGTCAGTGGTCCTGTTGACAGGCAGCATGTACAATTATTCCAACGACGAGTCAAGAAGCAACGATATACGCTTTCCGACCTTCACGACAAAGAATTATGCCATGCCAATTCTAGCTACTTCTCAGCATCGAGATTCCCCGTTACAGAACCAGTAGTTTCGCTGAAGAGAGTACTACAAACAAAGGATCCCTCGATCACTAATCCATCCTCGAAAGCCTTTGACCTGGACACACATAACCTGACAATCCGAGCTCTCACCCGGGCCTACAAGAAGTTAGTCAAAATTTCGGCCTCCCATCACCACCCCTTACGAATATTCGCCAATGCTGCTCAGAAGCATAACACAAAGGAGGCCAAATTGCCATCAATCCAAATGTGCGGTTGGATGAAGCTGATCAATCTCCAACCTACCTGCCCATCACTGCGCCTTGGACTCTTACTTTCAGCATCCTTGGATCAGCCCGCAGAAATAGCCACACTCTACTGGCAGGCATATAAAAAATCCAAGGATTCTATTTGGCTACGCTTCTTTTCGGAAGTGGTTGCATCTTCACGCTATTTTGACAACCCGCTGCACTGTTGGACTGCCGCACAACCACTTTGGGATCACCTGGAGGCAGCATCAACTGATCCTAATCCTGGCCCTGTGGCAGCTTGGGCCCACTTGCTGACGATACGTGGGCGCATTTGGGAATACCATGATCCAAAGGAATTTGTCCGACGCAATACAATCTGTTCCATTCACTATGGTGATGCTGAACAGTGGCGACTAGCGCTTCCACAGTTTTCCATCACACTGCAAAAGTATGGCATCCTGGGATTGATGGAATTGAGCCGCTGGGAAGATGATCACAAGGAGGATTTTGAAGCTCGAGATGGAGTTGCCAACGCTCGAAGTAGCGAGGATGGATTCCAAGAGTGGCCATTCGAAGAAGCCTACACAATCGTCGGTGCCTGGTCAAGGTTGATAGAACGTAGAAGTGGTAAAGCGATGACATCACTATCGGAGGAATTCCAAAAGTGTTTGTCTTCCCCAACGCATTATGAGGATTTTCTTGCCAGTGATGCGGCCACGAAAGGTGAAGATGACAAAAATCAAGCAGCAGCTTCCACAAATCCACCACTTTTTGACCATTTGAATACTGACATTCAATACAGCTTTTTGGGATATTTGGATCATTTGGATTTGACGCGAGTACGCGGTGTCTGCCAGGTTTGGAGAAGGATGGTTGATGACGACAAGGCCAGCTTGTGGCACAACGCATACAAGCATCGATTTGGTCCCTATCAGTTGGAAGCACCATTGAAAGACAATGACAACAACCACTGGTTCTCCTTGTTTCGCGCGAAATATTTGATGGAGTTGCCGTTGCGATTCAAGCGCAACACAAAGACAGCCTATCGACACCATACTTGCAATTATATTGGGTGCGATTTTGTAATAAAGTCAGAAAAACAAGAGGCCCAGCACGAACAGCGTCATATTCGTCACATTGCCAAACGTACAGAAATGGCAGAACGAGAGCGAGAACGTCAAAGGAAACGGAAACGACGAGAAGAAGAAAAGGAGCAGAAGGAGCAAGAACGACTGTTTGTTCAATATCTCAAGGAAGAAGCTAAGCGGGAACGTAACGGTGGATAGCGATCAGGGAATGTAGCATTAACTTGTACATTTAGTGTTGTAACATTGATAACATTATACCTTGAAGTGTATGGTCGTCTTGATGCCTTTTTCTTTTACAGAACGACAGCATGGCACTTTTGTCAATCCAACCATTGTTTGTAGCATTTTGTTGCGTCTCCAACATGTTTCTCTAATAGTATCCTCGATTGTCATCATCTTTATCTGGATAATAAGAATTTCGATCATCGTACCCCCTATTGTCGTATCGGTCGTTGTACCGGTCATCATAATATGGATCCCTGCCGTAGTCATCATTTCGCGATCGGCCTTTATTTTTTGTGCCCTTCAGCAAGGGTCCAATCACTGGCATGTTTTTGAGTATAGCCATGGCAACGGGGAACAAGTTTCCAAATAGATTCAAGAACCCAAAGGCTTCCAACACGATTCCCACCACTGGCCAGCCCGCAAAGACAAGTAGAAAACCCAACGCCAAGCACACAGTCGCCCGTGCTTTTTCTTTTTTGACGAGGTATCCCATCGTCCGACCCGGTCCAATCGTCAAGGGAACCCCAGCTACAAAACACAAATTTCCCAATCGCATCAGGGTCTTGTTGAAAAAGAGGGACATGCCCAAAACTGTCAAGGCAGCACCCACTCCCAACATGGGGACACCAATTTTGCGATTACCAGATTTCACTAGTTGGGTTACGGAAATACCAGCACCGCTTCTTGGACTCCGACGACCCTGATGACAAAAAGGATGTGAGTGTCATGTGTCACGGAAGTATTGGCAGTCATGTGGTTGTTGTTCACGACGACCTTGCAAGGGTGTTTTCAGTCTTCTTACCGATGGTGGGTAATCATCGTCGCGTCCATCGTAGTAGTAGTCATCATTATTTCTCCCACGCGGATCTTGAGAATAGTATGGATCATCATCAGCATCATCATAGTATCCTGCTCCTCCTCTGACAAGTAGTATTGAATCTTGTAGTAGATGTTGTTGTTGTTGTTGTTGTTGTTGTTGTTGTTGTTGTTGTTGTCTGACCAAGAATGCTCGACTACTCGACGGCATAGCAAACCTTGTGTGAGCAGCAGTGACTCCCCAAAAGACATCATAGATGCAGATGAACAGAATGCATTTTATGGATATCATGATCTCTGTCGCTACCAGAACTGTTGTTGACAAAAGGTTCCCAACAATAAGCTCGGAATGAGTTTTCCTCTTTTGATGGATTTCAGATTAACACGTGTCATATTTGTCGGAGGACAGACATGTGGGTCAAAGAAGTCGGAAACAGAGGTTTCGTTCGTGCCGTTCTGATTTCTGTTTTCCATATTCTTTGAACCTGGGTTTGGTGATTGGGAGTGAAGACTTGCTGTTGTTGCATACATCTGTATTGTCTATTTGTCACCCAGATACGCCAAAAAAGAATAGAATAGAATCTATTGAAGCCTAGGATTTTCAATGTCGGCTCAAACGTCGTCATTGTCGTCATCCTCTCGAGCATTGCATAGAGAAAACAGCCATCACGATGACAATGATGGCAATGCGGTTGTGGTAGAATTGCAGCACCCAGAAAGCGTGCAAGAAGCGTTAAGACCTCACTGGGACCGTCATCAACAGGCCCAGGTACACCGAGATATGGCGAAGCAAGCCTGTGCTCGCGAATTGGTCCAATTGCAACAACATCACAAACTAATGGAATTGCAAGCAGATTCCCGACGACTGCGCGCCCAATTGCAACAACTAAAAACCAGTTGTGCCAACATGGCCGTTCGGGTCGCTTCACAAGCTGTTGAGAATGATTCCAAACAAGAAACCTCCTTTGCCTTTGCGGCTCCCACAATGCACAACAATTTTTCTTTGGCCCAACACAATCAGTCCCTCGAACGCTTGGAAGATGGTCTCTTGCAAACGAGTATGCAGCATGCTATTCAAGTAGCAACACAACAAGTACGAGCCTTACGATTTCAGTGGGCACGCAAGGCGTTAGCCATGCATCGATTGGTCATTGATCCAGAGGATGTCAAGTCGGCACCCATTCGCAAAGAATCATCCTCGTCCACCGATTCCACCGATCCGTCCTCGATGGCTGCTAAAAAAACACGCTTGCAACGGCTTCAACGCCGAGCCAAAGGAATTGGTAAAATTGGAGGCCTTCCTCTGCCTCATGCCGGACCAGAACTCTATGGAGTCTTGCCTCCAAGAGAATTGCAATCTGCTTTGAGACTCGTAGCTTCTGTCACTTGGACAGTAGCACGATGTCTCGGAATTATATTGCCACATCCCATCTTGTTGACACCTCATGGCACAGCTGGAGACATTGCTCAAAGTCATCTTCAAGCTAGTGACAATCGACAAACGACGCGAAAACCACCCAAGCTGTCATCATCGAGCCAAAAGAGTACTCATGCAATTCCTCAAACAGCTCCAACACTGACATCTGCAGCAACTTCGGTCGCTACTTCTGCGGCCACTTCGGCAGTCTCACTTCTCTCGTCAGCATCTTACTTTGGCTCCTCGCTCTTGAAAAAGGGAGCCAAAAAGGCATACTCCAAGGCAACCGGCTATGAATATTCGAGCAGCAGTCGGAGTAGTAACGGCTATTATTCCCAAGGCAATACTGGCAGCACCACCAGGCGACCTTCAACTAGCAGCTTGGACAGTCGATACACGTCCAACTCTTATTCCACTTCCAATTCTTATCCCTACTCTTCCAGTATTTCATCAACCTCTCACCCGCAGCATGGACAACCAACCATTGCCACCATTCCATCCTCATCGGCTTTATCCCAGGACCGACAACACTTGTCTCAACGGATTCATCACGCCACTGCTGCTGTTTTGAGCGAAGATGTTACGAGTAGTGCTTCTGCCTTTACCTTGTCCCCACTACCGGAAGTGGCCAAGGAAGAAGACTTTGCCATTGCTTTACAGCTTTTGCAAAACAACATTATTTGCTTGTGCATACGAGCAGGGGTTCCAGTCTCGCAATTGTGGCCGGCGGAAGCCATTTTACTGAATCTGTACGCTCTGGATTCGTACTGCCAGCAACAGATTGCGGTGGATTATTAGTAGAAAGGAGCAATGCAATCCTTATCGTTGTAGTCGAATTAGTTGACCTAACCTAATTCGACATGATAATAGCAAATCAACTACAAAATGTAAATAGAATAGACACACTAGTGTTACAATCAATACAAAACCCCCCTTTTACCAATTGTCTGCATCTGTGTCCAGAATAGGTATTGAGTTTCCCATTGCTGATGGTTTTCCCCAACACAAAATCATACCATCCCTGGAGCCTGTTACTAACCTACGCCCTGGTTCCCACGCTTCAATGCAAGTAATCATGTTCAAATGACCCTTCAGGACCTGCTGGGGCGACCCACCTTCCATTCCAAATCCCAAAATGTTGTGATTCTTGGCAACCCAAATGCTTGTGGCCATGCTGCCTTGACTACTATAATACAGGGGTCCTGTTACCATCATGGGTGCTTTGCGCAGTCGCCCTGTACTTGGCCGCGTTCCTCCGGGAGCCACAAATTTGACAATTTGTCGCTGTGGACTACCCGCAGTCCTCAAGTCCCAAAGGCACAAGTCTCCGTCGACTCCACCGATGCTAGCCAGGTAGTGGCCATTGGGGAAAAACTTTAAAGCGCCCACATGACCTACTGAATGCGACAAGATGTATTCTGATTGCAAGTGCTGATAATAGTTGGGAGCAAGTGATGCCGAGGCCCGTTTTCGTTTCTTGATTTTGGTCAAGGGCGGCTTTCCTTTCGGCTTTTTTTCTCGAAGGTGTGCATAGTCAGCTTTGTAAGGTTTGTTGGGCTTGAAAGTAGATACAGCTGTGACTTCGCGGTTGAACACGGTAATGCAGGCTCGGCTTCCACTCTTGCGAATGTCCCAGAGGCGAACCGTACCATCTTTGGACCCCGAAGCCAGTACCACCGGCATGTTGGGACTCCATTGCAAGGTGGAAATACCATCCGTGTGACCTGACAATTCATGAGAGTGAGATCCCGATCGAATATCCACTAGTTTAATGGCATCATCATTCCAAGAACCAGCGGCAATCAAGGAATGATCTCCACCTGTTTGCAAATGGGCGATCCCACCTCCTCCAGCATCGTCGTCAAAGGGATGCACCCGTAGGACGGGTTGCATTTGATTGGTATCCCAAAACAATAGAGTCCCGTCGTAGGCCGTTGATAAGAATGCGCCTGAATCCACAGGATACCATTGGACATGTGCTACCGAACTGGAATGGCCTTCGGGAATGTCATAGTTCTGAGGCGCCGTCACTTTGATGGAACGAGCAATGGGATGAAAGGCCGATTTGCGGGCAAGACTGTTGTTGTTGGTGCCTTGCCGAATGTGGTGCTCCGAGCCCCACTTGCTTAAATCGAAAATGGAAACGGTTCCATCCGCAGATCCAGCAAGCAAAAACCTGCCATTCGTCTTGTCGACCGCCAAACAATCGATTGAAGATTGATGCGGTGAAATTATTTCAGGGTTTGTGAGCAATTCTTTCGCGTCAAAGCTTTGGGTGACAAACCGGGCAAAGGCCATGGGAGATTGAGGGCCGTGGTGGCGATTCACTACCAGCGAACAGAGAGGTTGCTGCTTTCTTGTTAAGAGATGATTGGCAGAATTCATGCTGGTTTTCCTGCCCAATGAGCCACAGCTCGGACCAAATAGTAATTCGCAAAACTAGCACTAGAAGTGTAGGCCAGAGATGTTGAAGATTACGCCATCGCTTTGTTCAATAGCGGAGAAGACTGAATAAAATGTTTTGCACGTTTGTGGCTTTTGTGTCCGGTCGAATGGATCCTCCAGTTGACTCTATCGACTTCAGTACTGATTGTTGACCAGCAAAGATTTTTTGGAAGATACTTCTGTAGTAGTCACAGATAGATACGTCTAGTAGGTATGTCATTCAACTCGCATTGACTACACTGCCCTTCTTTAGGACAGAGCACACATAAATTACGATAAGCGCTGGAAATGCATACCGGTAGTGCATCATGTTGTGTATTACGGTATGTTTGTGAAAGTATTAATGTGAGAAAAAAAGTCGTTGTCGTTATGCTGTGCGAAAGTTTTAACCGGCCAGCGGCGCGCGCGTTCCATTTTGAATTTATGTGTGTCGTTTTCTCTCATCAAATCACACGGACAGAATAGCGATCTATCATACGAGTACTGCTTGCACCTTCTCCTCTCCCTCTGTTTCAGATTCTTCAATTGCACCACAGGCAAAGCACAGTTGGATAGAAAAATTCACGTAGAAATTCAAACCAACCAGAAATTGGTTCCTACTTCCATTTTCAGGTTTCAGCAGAGAGATTGTAAAGGAGGATGAGAACCAATGAAGCGTTCATTGATGAAAAGGAAAACAGCACTTGTTGCACACCAACTTGGTACCTATGTCGCCACTGCTGTTGCAGATATGGCTGGTATCCTCTAGCTGTGGCTCCTCTAGTTACTATTGGGTGTCTCTTGTCCATTTATTCATCAGCAGGATGTGATTTCATTCGAGTCCAAGTTGGTTTTACCCCTTCCAACGATGCTTGGAATAAAAGCATTGCTCAGTTTGGGATTTTCATGTACCAGAGTTTTGAAGAGGATGATAATTTATTGCAGGGTGCTTTCGTAGACGGTTGCCGATGGTATGATGACAGCTTCACAAATGAGTTCATGGAGGATGACCAAACATGGCATGTTACAACAATCATGGCATATATTTCGGCTGCTGCCGGTGCAATAGCAACTGTACGTTGCAAACTGTTTCTGCATGCACGCGAAACCACGATATGCTTACACGTTTTCTTCTCGCCTTACAGATGACAGCGTGGTTGTTTGTTCTCACTCCCATTCCAGTATATTTCTTCTGGCCGGGATTCCTTTTGCCCGCATTGATGACAGCATTCCTGACAGAAGGTTCAAAGTTCCTTATCTTTGATACAAAAGTATGTAGAAGTACGGCTTGGTATCCCAGTGGTTCCGATTCCCTACCTCGAGTCGCTGAAGAATGCGCGATGGGGGCAACAGGTGCCTATACGATTGCAAGTGTTTCAATATTTTTCATCTCTTTGATCCTCGTCTGCCTAAGAGCACCGAAATTGAGACCTCTAGAGTCAAATTATGGCACAGACTTTGAGGATGATTTTGATGGACCGAGACAGCACGAACAGCTTGATGCCGTCGAAGAAAACAATATATACCCAGAGGCCGTTGAAGAAAATCACATATCTGTTGTCAGCAGCATGACCCATCCTACTGTGCCAACTATACGGTCTATTCCTCATCATATCGAAAGACAGCAGGCATTCACTCCAAATAGCAAGTCGACGATCGATGCAGACGATTCTCAATACTATGACGACTCCTACGCAGGGGATGGAGTTTTTGATGACGGGTCTTCGTCTTGTCCTCACTTCCACAGCAAGCAATATTACGACGAGCAAAGTCTCAACGGTCGATCTATTGGTAGTGGGGCACGAAGTATCACGCCAGTTGTGCCAGTAGTTTCAGAGAGTCGGCTTCGGACAAAGGAAAAGATGCAAAGAAATACAGAAGACAATTCAACCGAATTGATTGATAAGTTTGTTCGTGAACTGAATGTACGCTTTGACGTCAGCACATCATAGAGAAAACGACACCTCTGTCGTTGACATACATAGGTGATACCTGGTGTAGAGAAAGCCAAGAGTGTTAGTTCATAAGAGGGTAATGCAGTGTACACTACAATAGAGTATAGTACAGTAGGTATGGCTTTAGTTCATAATATAGAATGGGTCGATGTAGTCAAAGCGTGACAACACTACACAATGCAATATCTTTATTGAACCATTTATTTCCTCCGCAACCTGAGTTCGAGCCATGAAGACTCCAAAGGTAATATTCGACAACGACAGAATTCGTGTCAGTGATCTTCGGCTGTCTCCAGGTGAGTCGTCTAAGGTGACTTTCACGCATCCGACGGTTCGTTGGCAGGTGGATGAAGGGCTTGATAAGACAGGTCCAATCGCCGACAAACAGGTCCATTTTCAAGAGAATGACTCGACCTGTGAGTTGCACAATGTGGCGCCGGATTCTATTCTTCGACAAGTGTGGTTCGAAATCAAGAAAGAACCTCGAAGGTCAGAAGAAAAAACAAAGGAAATCCTTGCAAATGCAGTGTATTCCACAAATGTCGGAACGGAGCTCCTGTTCGAGAATAGGTGGTGTCGGGTGTGGGATTTCTGCCTTGGGATTGGAGAAGGAGACCCATCTACACCACATCATCATGTTTTGGACTATGTATACATATATGTTGCACCTGGAAGACTTCTTGGCTACAGGCATGATGGCACTCCTGGCCTCTTTGATTCTATTAATGAAGATGGTGATGTAACATGGAATGATATTCCTGATGGGGCAGAATTGGATCCAGAATATGCGCATGGAGGAAAGAATGGATACGGTCATTTGCCAATGAGAGAGTATCTTGTAGAATTGAAATAGATGCAAATGACAGATAGGACTACAGCAATCTTCAGGTGTTATTTTTCAGGTAATATACAAACAGGCAATCAAAACAGATAGTCATACATATGAAGCTTCTGGGGAGTCGACGAATAAATCATTAGAACACAGAGCCCTTGATCAAATAGAACAAAGCATCAGCTGAAGAGAATCCATGGTGGCATCTCGACGGAGCCTGATCGTCCGATGTTTCTTGAAAGTATCGATTAACCCTCTCAAATAGTGTTGGCCACAACCCCATGGGAAGCATATTCTGATCCAAATACTGTCGCCCACCCCTGTTAAGAGCAAGATCAATATAGACTTGAGGGTGCATAAGGCGATCTTCAACATCCAAGACTTGCAGCATGAAATTTCCCCGTATAGTTGAAGGGTCGAGCTGTTTTGACAGCTCATTCTTCTTGATATAAAGCTTTTGAAGGCCAGTAAACCTTTTCAACTGCACCAACAAAAGAGACAATATCGAATCCTTCAATCCACAGTTCTCGAAATTTAACTCCCGTAATGTCGTGTTGACTGTCAATACTTCTGCAAATGCGGCCATGTGTTGCTTGTCTACAAAGCTTTCGTACAAGTCTAAACGCTGTAATTTCTTGTTCTCACGTAAGCCCGCGGAAAGACTAAGTAGATCCAGCGTCCCAGGATTTTGTTGTGCTAAATTCAAGCTCTTCAGCCGACTCGTTGGGGATTGCAGTAGCCTGCTGGCTGCATTCATGGCTTCATCTTCCGCATAGTTCATTGCCAACGATAGGTGCTGAAGGCTCTGGTTGTCTTGTAGTGACAATAGGATTTCGGCGATTTCGTCATCTTGCAATCGACAATTTTCGAGATTCAGCGACACCAAGGATTCGTTGGTCTCTAATGCTTGACATATCACCTCGATCGAATCAGGGCTAATTTCGCATTGACTGAGATCCAATTTCAATATCGACGGTGCGTTATTAATTCCTTCGAGAATAATGCTCGTAGCTGCTTCTCTGGTCAACTCAATGAACAACACTAGCTCATGTAGATAACATGAGCATAAACCTTCTTTCATAGCTTCGACACTATCTGGATCCAGTTCATCGCCTATGATGGACAAATGTTTGATGTTCTCATGTTTCAGAATTGCATTCAAGAGTGCATACATATGATGACCGCTTGAGTCATCAAACTCGACCTGGGACCATCGAAACAACTGATCAATGATTTCATAGACAGTGTTGTAATCCAAGTCAACCCGGTGAAGAGTCAAGATTTCGCACTTTTCGTTGTCCTCCCCAACAATGTCCTTGGGTAAATTCCGCAGTAGATTGATCAGATCAAATGAATCCATATTCGAGTTGAGAGTCACGCTATTCCTAGCTTCCATACTCCTTCGATAGTCAAGCTCGTTCATTTTGGTATGCCTATGCGATGGCGATGAAGAAATCTGAAGAAAGAATTGAGTGTGTAGTGAATGAATATGAATATATACAGTGGGAAGGAAGCAATAAAAGTTTTGAGTTTCGTGAAATTGAAGCGTGCTTTGGATTTCGTCGATCGATTAATTCGACAAACAACCAATTCGACAAGTTCGACTTTCTGCGACAACCGAAAAAACCTTGTTTTTGAAGCACAAACGTTTTGAAGGAGTGCTCAACACGGTCACCCAACGGGATGGAAACTTAACCGATTCAGGGAAACGACCGTTTCCCAAACGGTGAGAGTTGGATGTCGTTTTCACACAATTTTCTCGTAGCGGGAAACGAAATCTTTCGCTATGGATACAAAACACAATGGAAAAGTTTCCTCCACACTCGCTGGCAGGAATGATCCTGGTGTTGCTCGTTTAGCGGGCCTCAGCATTGGGAATGTGCAGGTATGTCAAATTTCATGCTTCGCTCTTACCGCCTCAATGTTTATCCAAACTCAAACGATTGTTCTCTGGTGAGAAGGAACCTTTTGCTTGTCCCGTGAATCTTGATGAAGAACGCGATACAAATGCGTCACCAAGATCCGACACTACAACAGCAGCTTCAGTGGAGCGTCGCGACGATACATTTAACAATAGAGCATCTATCTCCCGTCGCAACCATGTTTTTCATCCATACTCTGCGGTATTTGGATCCCTACCATCTTATTCTGCTGAGAGAAGAGAAGAGGAAGAGCTGAGCTTTCCGTTTGTTGTCGATAGGAAACCGAAACACGGTAACCTTGTACGCATTCCAAAACCCCATAGAAATGCAAATACGGGGCTTCCTCCTTTTGTATCCGCGTTGTTACAACCACAACAACGCAATCCGAGTGACAGTGAAAGTAGTACTCTGAAACAGGAAGCTCGAAGCCACAACATTGATTATTTTGCGGAGTTCGCACCTCAAAAGGTGTATAAATCACCCACAAGACCCACAAACACCATTCAGAGGTCAATTGTCAATACACCACTAGGGTTGGCTGTGCTTTTGAATCATGATGGCTCCAAACCAACCAGTACCCCAAGATCTTTGCCACGTCATCCGGCAAACACTATTCGGCCAATCCAACCTCAATTTGCTCCCTCAAATTCTGCCCAGGTAGCCACAGAACAAGCCCAAAAGTTTCGACGTTGGCAACCCGAAGAAGATGATGTCCTCAAGTTCGCAGTGGAGACTGAAGGAGGTCCACCCATCAACTGGAAGAGAATTGCCCATACTTACATGAACAATACCCGGACTGCCTTGCAATGCAAAAGTCGCTGGACCAAGTCGCTAAAGCCAGGACTCGCACGCGGTCCCTGGACAAAAGAAGAAGATGCCTGCATCCTCCGATACAAGCAAGAGGGCTTGAAATGGTCTGAAATTTCCAAGTACTTGCCCGGTCGCCTCCCCGAACACATTAGCGATCGTTATAACAACGTCCTCGACCCAGAGTTGAAGAAAGATCCCTGGACTAATGAAGAGGATCGCATCTTGTTCCAAGAGCAACGTCGGATCGGAAACAAATGGACCCAAATCTCCCACAACATCCCAGGTCGGTCAGAAAAGTCTGTCAAGAACCGTTGGCACAATCTGAAGAACACTCGCAAACGCCGCGAACGTAGTGAACTCTTTGGACGCAACGCCCGTGCCAAACAGCAACGATTTCTAGAAACGAAGCTGCGATTGCTCAAATTGGAAATGACACAAAAGTCGTCCAGCCCAAAAATTGAATCCGCCATGGTGCTGGAACAAAAGCGACTAGAAGAGCAGCTTCAATCACTCCAATTGGTAACAACCGAAAACCCATCTGTCATAAAGTGCGAACCCATAGAAGTCATTGAGATCGATGACGACTAGACCCAGACGTCGTGTCAGGTGTGCCTGGGATTTTATAATAAATATAAAAAAAGAACTGTAGAAATAAAGTAAAAAACAATATGAAGCAAAAAGTGAACGACAAGTCCTTGCTTTCTATCACTGTATCGGGCTTCGTAGTCTTTTGCCGGGTGTGTTCTTCAGGAGGTACAGTACTGCAATTTGAAATTGGGAGTATAGTTGCCAAGGCAAGCGGGTCACGGGTGATGGGTGATGGGAACCCTGCCCGGCAATGCTGCGGTCTGTCTGCCTTCCTTTGTAGTTTGAGCCTGCAACCACTGTGTTGGAAACAAAAAGTTGAAGCTTCTAATTTCAAACTTCGACAAGACAAAGCAACCACATCTTTTGCCCGATTAGACTACTGTTTTCTCTAGAAAAGAAAGAACATTCGCGTAGCTACAAAGTCGTAGAACGAAGGACTGGAGTAACTTACCGGAAACTTCACTTTCAAAGATGCCAGACAAACCTGCAGAAGAAGAGACTCTGTTGTCGCAGCTAATGTCTGCATTGGCTGCTGGGGCTCGAGCTGTACAAGGATTGCCCCTAGAAGATGAATATGACTATCAAATGTCTTATCCTGAGTTCCGCCAGCTCATTGAATCGAATCATGAATCTTTGATTGATGTTCTATTGTTGGCCGTGTCATCATCAGCTGGCCTCTCAGACCACTTTCAAGACTATTTGGGACTGGAAATCGATACGCTGGACGACCCTCTACTATGGGAAGCATGTGCTGATATATGCGACGGTTTGCTAGAGCAAGCAGAAAACGATTCTTCCTCTAGTTCGATGGCCCAGGATATTTTGAATGCACGCAATCAAGCACAGACCTCCTTTGGACGCTTGCTGCACGGTATCGTTGATATGGACAAGCCACAAGATGTCTTCAAGTTTTCTACTAACTTAATTGGTCGCAATGAACCGTTCATCCCCCCAATCACAAAGAAACATCATGCTGTCAAACCCTTGGATTTGACACTTCATCCTGGACACGGTTTAGAAGACCGCTTTGGGGATCTCCGAAGTCGACCAGTTTTACTGGACAAGACCATGATTGCCCCTTCCTCGCACGTCCCCCACTGTTATCAGGCAGAATTGGAAGCCCTCAAGTACACCCAGTCGCAGTTAGAAGCACCTCAATCAAAGCCATCGCGAATTCAAAAGCCAAAGGGTCCATTGGAAGCAACTTGGATTGATACCGCTCGAGCGTTGAAAGACTTGGCAAAGAAGATCGAATCTGAAGGTGTTCGTGAGATTGCTCTGGACCTGGAGGCGCATTCTTATCGAAGCTTTGACGGCATGATCTGCCTGATTCAAATCACATTCAACAAGGAAAACTATCTCATTGACCCATTTCCAATATGGAAACATATATCAGAGGCTCTTGGTCCAATCCTCGCCAACCCTAAGATAGTAAAGGTTCTGCATGGTGCAGACTCAGATGTGCAATGGCTGCAACGCGACTTTGGAATATATATTGTCAACCTATTTGATACTGGGCGAGCGGCACGAGCATTGCACATGCAGTCTGCTGGATACGCGCATCTTTTGCACCACTACGTCGGTATTGTGGCGGATAAATCTCACCAGCTGTCAGACTGGAGACAAAGGCCGCTACCAAAAGCCATGAAGGAATATGCTATCATGGACACTCACTTTCTTCTGGACATCTACCACCAGTTGAAGTACGATTTGAGTCAACATGCCACTGCTTCAATCGAACAGGTTTTGGGTGAAAGTATGAAAGTGTGCATGATTCGATACGCACCAGAACCATTTAAACCAAACGGCTACAAGTCTATCATGGGCAGAGGAAGACGACGACGGGGGACCGGGCGATCAACGTCGAAAACAGAACTCAATGACACTCAGGAACAAGTTCTCAAGGCGTTATGGGACTGGAGAGACCAAATTGCACGACAGGCAGATGAATCGCACGCATACGTCTGCACAAATGCAGCTCTCTTGCGACTAGCACTTTCGCGTCCGTCGACCTTGACTGCTTTGCAAGGACTGTTGCAGCCAATTCCACCACTGTTGCTTCGGAACGCAAAGGAAGTGCTCGATCTGATCCAGTCTTGCCAGTCGCAACCTACAAAGTCGCAATCCCTATCATCTGCGTTTTTCAAGCCTGCAACCGCAGACGATGATGATTCATCTCTCACCAACCGCGTGTTACGAAGCCCTGTCTTGGGAACAGAAGCTCTCTATCGTCAAGCAGGATGGATCTCACCAAGTCTTTGTGGCCCGTCAAAGAATGAGATGGAGGTAGAAGATATTGTGACCAGTGCAACGGATGACGATAATGTCAACGATGGCTCGGACCAGCAACAGATTAAACCTCGAAGGCTGTTGGCAGTTCATGAGTCCAATCAATCCTTTCAATCACGGCAATTCACTGCTCACAGTTTAAAGCTTGGCACGTCTTCATCAAACCAGAACCACAACGACGGTCGCGGCGGAGTGGATGGCTTAGGATCGGCACGAGCAGCCAATGCACAAAATTTCGAAGAAGAGGCCCACTTGGCTCAAATAAATGCTGATGCAATTCGCAGAACCCAAGAGAATCACGTCAAGATGATTGGACTAGTCTCGCCAACTTCAGACATTGAGGAACACGCTGTCGAGAGAATCAACCGGGAGGATACCACCGAAAAGCCTGAGGAAGACGAACCTGCCATTCCTCGATCCATGAAAGAGATTTATCAAATATCCAACCGTAATCGGCGGGCGAAGAAGACCCCTTCACTCCGAGAGGTTCAAAATAAGAAAGAAACCAGTGAATTGGAGAAAGCCGAGGCGCTTCTGAAAGAACGCGGCATGGAGGGATACTTTGATAATCTTCCTGGAACACCAAAACGACAAAGAACCAAGTCGACTGGAAACTCGTCATCGTCTTCAGTTTCTGAGGACGCCCCAAATGATGCCCAAAATGCATCACGGGATGATGACATTGCTTTCATGAAGGATATTGGCTGGATCAAGGACAAGCCGGGAGGCAGTAGCACGATTGTGGATACGAAAAATGATCCGCAGGAAGGCAATTCATCGACTGTCGACGAGCCCATGAAGGATGCTGCACCGAAGCCTTACGACTACTCCAAGATTGGTCAAATCGGCGCCTTCAGCGCCACACCTGGTGCCAATCCGTTCTTCCAGGGTGTTGCTGTTGCAGGGGGTCATTTGAACCAGCAGTTTGGGAAGACGCCGAGCCGCAACAAGAAACAAAGCAATGGGAATGCTAGGGGGAAGCAATCATCTCGGCGGCAAACAGAGCGGCCAGAACGGGGAGAGGCTCGTGCACAAGTATATAAGAAGCGATAAACTGATAATATCCGTCGGCTTACAGTCAAATTATATTTGCTAGCTAGCTAATGGTGACCGTGACTGATTTCATTTGGATTGGTTTTGCTGGCTGTTCAGAATTAGTTTCGCTAATTTCAGCATGCTCAATTTTCTTAACGATAGTGTCATATCCCTCAATTATCTTGCCAAAGACTGGATGGGCAGACTCTGAGCTACCATTGAACCAATCAAGATGTGGATTGTCCTTCACGTTGATAAAGAATTGGGAACCTCCCGTGTCCGGTTCTCCACTGTTAGCCATCGACAGTGTGCCCTCTTTATTGGAAAAATCTTTGATCAACTCGTCTTCAATATTGCCGTATTCATCTCTGGTATGTTTCTTTCCAGTGCATGATTTGAAAGAAGTTTCAGGTGGACCAGCTCCCTCGCCGATACCCTCTTCTTCTAGAGTGCCGTACTGTCGTTGGGAAAATATTGCATAAGGTTTTGGACAACAAGATGGCTAATCCACCGACTGGGATTCGACTTACGTAGACGTGTGGATTGATTGCGTTTGGACAGCCAAACTGGATACAGTAATCTGGGACTATTCTATGAATGTAAAGGCCATCGTAGTACTTCTGGTTGATAAGATCAATTAAGTTGCCACTGTCAAGAAATTGTAATGAGAGACTTTCAGATGACCGTGATGAGGGAATCAATTGACTTTTCGTACCACGTAATCGGCATTTTTTCTGTGAAGAGCTCCGCCTTGAACGTGCCTTCACTCGTCTCAAATGTAACTGTCGTCACCATCGTATAACCTCAATCAACCTGGGTAGTTTGTGTCAATGATCAATAAAATAACTGAAGACACAATCTCAATGACCATGACTGATTGAGTCACGAGTCGATACATTCGACCCAAGCAATTTTGGCGGGAAATTCAAATTGCTACTGGGTTATGCATGCGTAACGTTGTCTACTGAATCATATTGTCTTCCATTCTTACAACTGTTTGGGTTACTTACATTAGCGTTATTGAATAGCTGATGACAACAAAATTCAACAAAGCTTGCTTTTTTTAAATAAAAAGGCCTTGAAAAATAATCGTACACTATGATCAGTTTTGTACGCCGACGGACTCTCGCTCTGGATCGGCATGCATTTTCGAAGAATATTCCTCTCAATCTTGCCAAATGAAGTCCCGTTTGTCTGATCTGATGACACGCATGAACCTTTTGAATGATGGTGAATTCACTTGTTGACAACATAAAGATTCCACCATGAGCACTGAGGAAAGAACTATGCTAGCGGATATCGACATTGAAGAAAACAGAAATGGACACGAAACTGAGATAGACGCTTCTGGGTTGGAGTGTGACATCATCCCTACAAACGAGAAAGAAATTCGTGCTGGACATGAGAACACGACTGAAGCACCGAAGAGCGCCCCACCGCACGAGAAAGAAGATCATATTGCGATTGCTGCTCTCGCCAAGAATACCAGCGGTATGAACAAATGCTTCATCATTTGCGCTTTTGCAGTTGTCGCAGTTGCCTCAGGCGTAACTGGGGCCTTAATTGCAAGAAAACAGAGCCCTGGTGCCATTGCACTCTCCACGAACCCTATCGTGCCTCAAACTACTGTATCTCCGACAACATCACACCCGACAACTGCACCCTCGACCCATTCAAACCCTACAGAGGAACCAACTTCCCCACCAACGACTGCTTCTCCCTCGACCCATTCAAATCCTACGGAGGAGCCAACATCTCCACCGACTACTGCTTCTCCAACAACCTTGACACCGTCTTTGAGTCCTCGTCAATCTGCTATCCTCGATGCTTTTACCGACTATGGTCCTGTTCATGCCGAGGCATTTCAATGGCTGCTTGATACCGATGAGTGGGTACCATCCTCAATGATATCGGGGGATACGAAAGCTTTGTGGCATCAAAGATACGCAGTTGCAACGCTCTTTTACTCCACCAATGTACCATATCTAGCCAACAGTGCCTTTCGTACAACGAATTCAGTTTGTGAATGGGCAGGAATTGAGTGCTCGGACGGATTGGAAGTTGATGAATTGGATTTGGGTAAGTCGTCCTGCTGTAGGTTGATCTTTCTATGATTGTGTCTCATCGTTCCCCATTTCACTCCATTGAAAACAGCCCATGCCATGATGAGCGGGAGCATCCCTACAGAAATTGGAATGTTGACTGGGTTATCGTACCTCGATTTCAGTAAGATTTGGAACATGTCTTCTGAAAGGGAATGTTGACATCTCTCATATCACTAACTCTTCTCCTACTGTCTACAGCAAATAACGACATTGGTGGACCGTTGCCGTCCGAGATTGGTTTACTGTCTGATCTCAATGATATTCTGCTTTGTGAGTTGCACGAATATGATCTGCCATGCAATGCAGTGACAGGCTCGCTAACAAGTATTTCTTATTGCCACAGCACACAATTCGATTACCGGGTCTGTGCCGTCAGAAATCGGGCATTCTAGCCTCTGGTTTCTCTATGCGGGTAAGTTTAGTGTTGTTGCGTGAACATTATTGGTTACAAGTTGATTGAGTTGAGTGTCTGACAATGTACTGTACTCCTTAGACCACAATAAGTTCTCAGGAAGTCTTCCGCCTCAGCTTAAAAAAGTTTTGGGCGTAGACTTGTGTAAGTCTCGTCCGATCAAGCTTGTGCACTCGTACTGTTTTGTGTAATCTAACCATGTTTTTACTTCACCCGCCATTTTTCCTTTGGACTACCGTAGCTTTCAACCAACTATCAGAACATATCCCAGATGATTTGTTTACAGACCGATTGTCGATGCTCATCCTCAATGACAATAGGCTATCTGGATCTTTGCCTGAATCTTTGCTTGAGGCAAGCCAACTTACAACACTTTGGCTCTGGAACAATGAGCTCACTGGGTCAATACCGGCTTTGAACGCCATATTGTCAAGCTGTAAGATCGGAAACAATCAGTTCTCAGACACGACGAATGGCGAGGGCTTTTGCTCCTTGTAGATGCGCCAAGATGGAGGAAGAGACAATGGAGAAGTTTTATTATTACATACAAAGATACATGCAAAAGATAAATACAAAAGATACAAACAAAAGAAAAGCAAAGAGCTTCAGTAATAGTTACAACTTGAACTAGTTTACATGTTTGAAACACATTATTGGATTGCGTTTCGAGTCTATAGCAATGGTTGGCTCAAAGTAGCACAAGCGACATGACGGGACACGAAATCCACCATGCCAGCTCTAAAGTTGCAGCAAATAAGGGTAGTGTGCCATTTGGGCACCTTGAAACGTCACTCGCAGTCTACAGCCAATGCTGTGCGAGCATCTTCGCTTTTATCATCATTGCAAGCGTTGCAATTTGTGATTTCGAACGAATCGATATAGTCGCGATTTTTGGCATGCCGAGTTCAAACTTCCATGATCTCACAATCATTTCGATCTCCACGCAACCGTCTCCATCGAGACGGCTTGTCATCTTCTGTAAGATCCAACACCTCAGTGTTTTCTTTGTCTCCCTCATCAGAACTGAAAGTGCTCTTCATAGAAACGCTAGACAGCCTCTTCTTCAGCTTTGCCCTGAGATTGTTGGGTTCTGAAGAGACGGATTGCTCATCATTTTGTGGTTGTCGCTCTTCATCTATGGATCTTTTCGAGTCACCACCACTTGACAAACTCAGCCGTCTTCGAATCTTTTGCAGCGACTTGTTACGCTTTCTTGTCTCTATTTCTTCACTAATTTCCTCCAGTTTCATTTGAAAGTATTCTTCCTGTTTTGATCGGATATTCACTTTCGTTTCAGCAGTTATCTTGCTCTGAGCCATCCGTTCGTCTACCAATGCAGGCATTGTCTCTGTAAGTTGCTTGGCAACCAGATTTGGTACTGAATATTGAAAGGAAAATAACAAAGTTGAAAATGTTAGTTGTTCGAATTCCTCACTGCACACTGATATAAATGGCTGAACTTGAACTTACACAAATTCTCTTCAATTTGGTCCTTGAATCCAATGTTCCGAGTAAACCATCTCAACCAATTGCGATCAATCGATTCCGAGTCTACATTCAGCACCTTCAATTTGAGGACAACATAAGGTCCTTCTCGAAACACTTCCTCCACCGTAATCGTCACACCCTTTTTGGCAAAAGTACGAGGCAGCTCTCGACAGAATCGTTGACTTAGCACTTGAGCAGTCTTTCGCCGCCCGGTAAAGTAAGTAGCGGCATGCGCAGCTTGATTTTGGACTGGTTTGGGTAGCTTCTCCATTCTTTTCATGACTTTTTCCTTCACGGCTAAGGAAGCATCAACAATAGTTATGTTCAGAAAGACTACGTTCTCTTTCTTCTTCTTGGTAGCCATTTTCAACTCTTTCGTGTCTTGACAGGTTAAGTGATAATTGTCGTTGCAGCAGCAGTGTTGTTGCTGACAACTTCAACACACGGAGAGCTGTCGGGACTGAGGTTGTTGACGGTTGTGACCTTTTGAGGGTTTCAATGTTATCAAATAACCTTTGGCTTGCGTTCGGCATCCTAGCTAAATTCTGTGTGACACACGGGTTTCATCCTATGTGTGTCGTGCGAAACGAGCCAGATCGCCAAAGCCAGAAGAATAACACGAATAAACCTAGACACAGCCGTTAAGAAACGGTTATCCGGGTTACTTCAACAAAATTTCAATAGGCTAACTTGACTTGACTTGACTTGACTTGACTTGACAGCATACCCACCAACTCAATTGAAAATGATAACACCAATCTACCAGTCGACGATGCTAACCTCAGAGCTTTTGGAGTATCGAGATGGAGAGGGTGAAACTTAAGCTGCCGTCGAGATTGATTAGGCCGTTTCTTTTTTCTGAAAAAGAAACCGAAAAAGAAACGTCTCGATGAGAAACGGCAATGATACGCCATTCTCACAATCAAAGCACGATTCCAACATCAGCCTTATTCATCCTCCTTTCTTTTGCCTATCATGAATCGTTCAAATTCATCTTTCATGACATCGCCTTTAGCCATGCAGCCATTGGGGATCAAATCCAGTATTGTCAGTAAAAATGTGCCGAACGTCGCCACTGAGAATGATGGCCGTCAACAATCAATGCCACGTGTCAATTCTGCTTCTGTGACTGCGGCTACAACGGTTACCGCTTCTACCACAACAACGACTACTGCTACAATCGAGACTGTGGTGGGAGCAGAAGAGCCTACCAACAAGGATAATGTGCCTGACAAAATATTTCCCGCTGACGCTGGGAACATTCAATCTCTAGTGTTTGATGCTGAGGATGTCCGTCACGATTTGGGGCCACCGGACGAGAATCAAGTACCGTCTCCTAGCAGTGTTGCTGGTAACAAGCGCAAGATTACAGGCAACGTTCCAGTCTTTGAGATCAGGAAATTGCATGCCTTTCAAAAGGATGAAATGCCAGTCTACTGGAACATTACCAACCTAAAGCCCAGCAAGGTGACTCGACACTTGCGTTGCCTCCTATTGGCACTGGAATCTCGTCCCACTTTTTCTCAGGTTCGCCAGCAGTACTATCAATTGCGAGATCACTTTGTGTATTTCTATGGCTTTTTGCAGATCCATTCTACTGAGAAAGAACAAAAGGTCAAACTTCAAGCGCTGTTCAAATCGATCTTTGACAAACTGCATGCCCTACTCTCTCTGGCAGACCGTTTGGAGGGTGACGATGAGGAGGAGCTGGTGACCGATGACGAGAGCGAGAACTGGTCGGAGCTATCTGATGACCCCAAGCGCCGACGTATTGAGTAAATTGAACACATATTCCTTCCTTCAATATGGTTAGGAATCTGTTGTGTACTGTACCTAAAAGTATGATGATAATCAAACAAGATGATATAATAATAATGATAACATTTTATAAATTTAAAAGATCCAAGTTTAAAAACGCAAGGTCGAAATTATCTTTCATTTTGGATTGGGAAGTACGAAGTATAGTCAAAGTGGTTCATGTGATCAATTGTCTATCTTATTTCTATTCTCACAAGTAGTGCTGATTTTTTGTCGTACATACCCCCTGTGCTCCCCGTGTGCTATGATGAAAGAATTGCAATTTCAATACATTTACACTTGATGAAGACGGGCTGTGGGATTTGGAGTGGATCGAAAGATAGTAGGAGCGTTGTTCGGAGGAGCGATGCCAAATTCTTGAAGTAAGTTTTTGTCGCTGGGAGGAGCCATGACAATTCCTCGAGGCGAATTTCCATTGCTCGACGGGGAGACAACAGTTTTTCCAAGGGACTCTGCAAGGCAGGTATGATCGGTTCGACGTTTGCGCGCCATCTTTTCACTACGCTCGCGGCGTTGTCGAGTCACCTTCAGATTGTGCCACCGATTCTTGACCGAGTTTTCTGATCGGCCGGGGATGAGTTGGGCGATTTGGGTCCACTTGTTTCCGAGCCGACGTTGCTCGTTGAACAAGATGCAATCCTCTTCTGTAGTCCAGGGAGTTTTCTTCAACTCGGGGTCGAGGACATTGTTGTAACGATCACAAACGTGTTCGCCGATGCGACCGGGCAACAACTCAGCAATTTCAGACCATTTCAAGCCCTCTTGCTTGTGACGGAGGATAGAGGCATCTTCTTCAGGTGTCCAGGCACCCCTGATGACCCCTGGCTTCAGCGATTTGGTCCAGCGACTTTTGCATTGCAGGGCACTTCGCACGTTGGAAAAGTACTTGGAAGCGATTCTCTTCCAGTTGATTGGTGGACCTCCCTCAGTCTCCACTGCAGTCTTGAGGATGTCGTCTTCTTCAGGTGACCAGCGTTGGAATTTGCGGCTGGAATTGTTGTCAGCGTTGGAATGGTAAACTCCCAAAACGTTGGAACCTGGTTGCTGTACCACGACCGATTGCTGCAAACTTGAGATGGTAGCACTGTTGGGATCCTTGGAATTCAACAACACAGCCAGGCCCATTTGAGTCTTGATAACACAATGCTGATCAATGAGATTGAGGTCTGGGACTGAGACCGTCTTCGCACCATTTGGTTGAGGGATAACTTCGGCAAAATAATCAAGATCACTCGAACCATGCTTCTGCTGCCATGCCCCAGTGTAATCCTCAATAGGAAAACCCCCAGAAGGCGACACGGCACGAGAAGAAATGAGAGCCACATCTGCGGATCTCACGGGAATGGGAGCAGCAGCAACCGGGGCGCGTGGTTCTTGGATCATCTTGTGTTTTACGTTGGTTCCGTTGAAGTTTTGGAACGGTGAATTAAAGCCGGACTCTTCCCTCTTCATCTCCTTCACAGGATAGCCAGAGAAAGGAGCATTCGAATGAGGAGCGATGGGCACAAAGCCACTGGTGGCAACCTCTGGTTGTTGGTAACCATCGAATCGAGGACCCGGATGATAGGTTGGAGTCAAACCAAGACAATCGTCGCCCTTTTGCGTGTCAACGGGATAGAAGGGCATGTAACCAAAGTCCTCGCCAGTAAACTCCATTACAGGTTCCTCCACACATGGAAAACCGTCGCCATGCTCCAACGTTGGGGCGTCACGTATTTCATTGTCAAAGCATCCAGATGGAGATGGTTGGGCATCGCGATTGTCGTCCACCATTGCACAAAGATCTAGCACATCATCCTATATAGATACAGAAGAAACATCGTTGAGTAAAACAAAACACCAGTTGACGAGAAAACAGAAAACGAGCTTTACTCGTCCACTTACCACCATCGCGTTGTCATCAAACGACAAGAAAGGTTTCGTATCAAAGCTCATGGTTCGACGATCAACAACTCCTGCTCCAGTGTCCTTTTGGATCTTGTCATCGTTTGTTGATTCTCTCATTGCAAACATGTTGTATTGTTTCACACAGTTGTGGCTGCAAAATTTGTGACTGCAAAAGATGTGAAAACCACATCACAAACCGCCCCATCTTGCATCGCTCATTCACCATCGTGTTGTGCAACACGACGACGAGTAAAATCTACACCGGCAACCGTAACCTTTTGGGAGGTGGTTTGCGTCTCCCGCTTTTTTGATGTACCAATTGTACGTAGAAATATACGGGAGTTAAGAAACACGCGCGGTTTCCCAGGTTTCTTGTGGTCGAACTTGTCGATTGCGACATAAAAAGAAGTTGTACAGAGTTGTGTTCGAAGGAGTTAGAAGTCTCTGCATACTGTACATTTATTCAAGATGCATTCAATAATATCAACTAAAGGCATAATCTTAGATACTACTTAGTATTCGTTGCAAACATGATAACCCAATCAGCTGCAACGATGGTGCACATTTTCCATATTCTATTCGGAATGTTGTGCTCGTGTGGGGTTGCTTTTTTGCTTGCTTTATCCAGCTTGCCACAATCCAGAGTCGACACATCGCTTCATGTGGTACTCGGCATCCTTTTGACTCATGTTCAACAGTACCTTCTTCAATTGTTCGACGTCCCGACTTTCAAAGGCCTCTTGAAGTTCCACAGGCAAGGTTTCAATGACTTCAAGTGGATCCAAACCACCCGGTCCTAATCTCTCTTCTCTTGGAATTTCGTTCAAGTCGACACCCTGTTCACTGGTACCGGTTTTTCGTTGTTGGTCCATCTCCATTCGCTTGGTGACTGCACGGCTAATAATCTTTTGTTGAAATTCTTCCAAACCCACCATGAATCCTTCCAAAAACTCTCGCTGCTGCATGCGTGTGAAAAAGGGAATAATGGCGTTACCAGGGTGCGTGTTCCATCCCTTGGCAAGCTCGGCAATGTTGGTGACAATTTGAGATTGTTTGGCAGTTTGCTTCATTTTATCGCGGTATCCATTCATTTCATCTTCCAAAGTAGCCAATAGCAAGTAATTGCTGGCGTGTTCTTGCAGCACAATGTTTCCATGTTGGATAAGGAACTCCTTGGACTCTTCAAAGGCTTTGATTGCCATAAATTCTTCTAGCAAATCGGCATACTTTTCAGTGAATTCATGGTAAGTGTAAAGAAAATCGGGATCGGAATCGACTTCTGATGCATCTGGTGTCTTGCGTGGTGGAGCTGGTACGACGGGTCCGGCAGCGGAAGCAGCAGCTGGTTTTGCTGGTCCAGCTACCGGCTTGGCAGGAGCAGCTTCCTTCTTGGCTTCGATCTTCTTCTCGGCAGCCTTTTCTTTTTTCTCAGTTTCTTCAAATTGCTTCTTGGCCGATTCTCCAGTGACAGTGGATTGGGCATATCCCGATTTTGTATAGTTGGTCTTTGCAGCGTTTGTGTTAATGACAGTTCGTTCCTCCTTGACCTCAAACATATTGTCAACGTTCCACTTTTTGTTCTTTTCGTAATCGTCAAGCTTGGCCTTTCGTTGTCTATTTTGGGTTTGGAGTTCCTCAATTTCAATCTTGATAGCTTCCGCATCGTCCAAATCATCGTCGTCGCTGTCGCTGTCATCTGCCTTTTGTTTTTCAATCTTTTTCAAATCACGTTCTAGCATCTTGATTCGTTGGCTGGCTTTTTCAATCTGTAAATTTGTTGGGAAGCATCAAATTGTTGGGAATTATTGGAATGGGATAGAGGCGGTCGTGGGAAGATATTGTTTGAGAGCCGCACCATAACGATGATGATATTGATAATGATAATGATGAATAATAATGTAAGACAATGTACAGTGTTGCATCAATGGATAATCGACAATTGATCAAGACACTCACCTCATCCATAATACGCTTCTTATCCTTGTCTTCGTGCTCTTCACGTTCCACACGACTACGATGCTTCATGCGGAACCAAGATTCTCGGTCAATGTTGGGGTGGACATCTTCTTCATCGTCACTCAATTCAATGTTGTCCCATTTGGAATAATCGAAAGGTTTGCTCATCTTGTGTCAGTCAGTTTGTATACAATTATGCTGATACTTATGGTGTAATACTTTTGGTGTATTTATTCGACAAGCAATGAAGCAATGGGGATCTTGGTCATTGCGGGCCTCGCATTGGCTGAATTTTTTTCCTAGAAAATCGTGAGGCTGCCGAATGAATTCGATCGAATCAAATAGAAAATGCGACTGAGACGACTAGCTTATTTTAGTCAAAGCAGTCGATCACCACCATCGCATCATTTTCATGTTCATTTTCATTTGTTTGATTTTATCTTCTCAATTTCATCCTTTGCATATCCCCCCGTCGTCCCGCTCAAGCACACAACACGAGCGCAATGAAGGGCGGCGCCAAAAAGAACAAGGAAACGGAGAATCGTTTCGAGAGTCTTCTGCAGCGGATCGAGAAGCAATACAATCCACCCGAGCAACAAGAGCATGCTCTCAGCTTCCTGTATTATCAACGACCACCCGATGAAGCCGCGTCCGCGTTGGGCCAACAGTTGGCAGTCACCTTTCAAGACTTGTCACTCGAACTTGTTCCATCGATGCAAGAAAAGGCTTTGGTCTGCCTTACTAGTCCGCATATGAACCCATCCATAATACAAGGCTTTCTCACCACACTGTGGACAACTTCTACCTCGTGGACCGGAATGGATTGGTTGCCGTCTTGGATCTTGCACACGGACAAGTTGTGCTGCTCCGAATATGACGACGACGACGACGAACGAACCAATTGGGATGCTCTGACTGCCATGATTCATTGCCATGCCAAGTGCGTTCGGCGGCACTTGCAGCGCCCCGATACCAACCAAATCGAAATGAGCCACGAGATTGCTGTTTCGTTTCGAAAACTCCAATCGTCACCGTCGCAAATTGCCATGTTGCGAGAATTCACCAAGGTGGCATTTTACATTCCAGAGAACGAGGACGAAACCAATGTCGAACATGGTTCCTTACACTCGGTCCGACCTATGCTGAGTCCTCTCATGACAACCACAGTCTTGAGCCTGAAGAAACGGCCGCAACATCAAACAGTATTATTCTTGGAAGGTCTTTGGCGAGAAGCATGGAATGCAATTCCGATCGCACTGGAACAAGGTCTTCAAGCGGAGGTTATGGACGTTTTGGAATGGATGGCAAAGTCTTTGGGTTTGTACTTGTCCAGTATTAGCTGTTGTTCTCGGAGTGCCGATAAGATTGGGGGGAAAGAAATTGCCCATCGATGGTTGATACAGTTGCTAGAAATGGCGACCTTTCTCGAACCATCATTGGATTCGGAAAGCATAGAACTCCAAATGTTGTCCAAATGGCTGTCTCGAATGGTGACTGGGCCACTGATATGCATCTGTGCAACAATACCGACCTTTCGAATATCCCTGCAACCAGTCTTACTGCCAATTCAAGCCATCATTCAAAGACTTAACAGTACAAAGACTTGTCGATTTACATTGGATACAATTGAGACACACAAGCTCGCTGCGATGCTCTTGTCAAATCCCCTACAAGAGGATGTCAGGGAACTCATCTTGGTCCTTGCGGCATCCATATCGACGAATAGCGGTGGAACAAGCTCCTCTATGGTTGAATCCATGCTACGAGGCGTAGGATCCATGTTGGTGGCAAACTCCAACTATTCCAGTAGCTGTGCCGAGTTGATACGGTCGTTGCCAAATCGCTCCTCGCGCCACATTGGAACCAAGACAGCGAGGTCGACGTATCCAATGAACAGTCTGTTGCAAATTGTGGAAGAAGAGCTTACCGAAGATGTAAAGAGCCTGATTGACTTTTTAGCAACAGAGGGATTTTCACTCAATGCGCAGCAGCTGTCTGCAACACAGCAGATGGGAGCACTTCTATTTGGTGTTGGGTTGTTGGATTCCGATGCAAGTTGGAATGAATCGACCCGAGGCTATTTCCATCATCTTCTATTGAAGTATCCCCATTTGGGCGTGCCACTGCTTCCAATAGTCATTGAATCGATCAACCGTGCCTGTATCCGAGGCGACGGGGCCTTTTTAATCGATCGGCTGGACTTTTTGTGCGATACAATTATCCAAGACCCCCAGTGCGCTCGAGAAGTTTGGAATCTATTGGGAGTACAGCTGATGCAACCAACCGTTTCAGTTGCCATCCGTGCATCAGTCATTCGACTATTCCCGAAAATCTGCGCCTCCAATAAACGTCTCTACAAACGTGTCATTGTAGCATTGGGGAACAGTTTGGTCTTCAACAAAGTCGCTCCAGGACCGCAGGATATCAATGACCAAAATGAAATCAAGCTTGCAGTCGCAGCGACTGTGGCTGAGTTGGCACGGGACGACCTCATTAAGGACGTGACGGACATTATTGGATGGATTCAAGATTTCATTGAAGATTGTGGGTGGGTGCGATCGGTGTCCACACTGGATAAGGAAGTTTCGACAGCCAAAGCTGCAATTGTGCATTACGCACTCCTTTGCCTCCACTATTTGGTTGTGTCACAAGAATTAGATTACAATGTGGTAATGGTCGTTCTTCGCAAGCGTTTATGCGATGTCCATAATTTGGAGGAGGTCACCAAACTCCCACCTCTTGTTCTAGAAGCACTTGCGATACTTTTGGGAGACGGTGAATGTGATGACGACGAAAGTGACAGTGACGATGGACGAGAACAACGTGTTGGGATCCACCCGCAAGTGCGACAATCGGTGACAACTCTCATTCAGCTTGGTCTGTCCGAAACATTGCACCCCAACGAAAAAGACGTTAACTCACTCGCTAGACAAGTGCTTTCAAAGTGCCGTGAAAACCTTTACGCATCATTGAGCCGATACTCGCTCGATGCTCTAGGCCTTGACGACGGGGGCATCATCGCCGCTTGCTCTGCTGCGAGCAATCCGGATACACCGGCAATGTCGGAATCTGGCAGGCAATACAATGCATTGAAACTTGTCATCGAAAAGGGCATCCAGCGACTACAGGCAGATGGGGAAATGATGATGCAGAAGGGTCGCTTTGAAGGGTACAAGAGCGATGGGCAGAAGTCAGAGTCTCTACAAGGTCTGACTTCCAAAATTCTGAAGTTTGAGGAAGACATTCTAGGCTCTTCATTGTGGCAAAAGCGAAGCAAGGCGAAGAAGCGAAATAAGTCGGAACCGAGTGAATCGCTTGACAAATCCTCTTACATCGCAGCGTTACCTTCTTCCGAGACGATTCGTGAGCTTTACAACGAGAATAGGGGTACTGCAACAGCGTTGTCCGCACTTCTCTGTGATGATGACAAACCAATGTCGAACATCACGATGCTAGCGATGGACATTTGCAACGAGTCTTCGGATGCCTTGATTAACGTCATGTACGTCCAAGCTTGGCTGCACACTTCGAGAAGTTTGCTCCAACAGCTTGTTGCATCTCAGTCCAGTTCAGAAGGTCTCCAAAACATTTTTAATTCAATAAGGGAGTGGCGTTATACGCATGATAACGCAGACAACATGAACATGGCACTGTCTGCTTTGGCTCTTCATATCCCTGTTGTCTTGGGACCCTATGGTGATCATTCAATTTACGTTGGAGAACTATGTGATGAAGTCTACATGGCCTATCAAGACCATGGATTCGAGAATCCTGACGTGGCAAAGCTCTGTCTTGCGTTTGTTGCTGTCTGTTCCGTGAGAAATAACGATTTTTCTCGAGTCACCGAAGTGGTCGAAGCTCTGGAAAAGTCTGTCACAGCATACGGGGGGAAAGTAAGCTTTGGTGCATGCTTTGGGCTCGCTTCAATCGCCCAGGCATTCTGTGGAGCCGAAGGTGATACATCTGATGGCACAGCAGCGAGATTCATTCGCCGAATTACCGGCTTCTTGCTCAGACAATTACTTTCATGTATCAAGGGGAACTACCCAGCGTTACAACGCCTTCTTGTCTCCGTTGAAAATGGATCTATTGACCCTGAGGTTATTGACGCGTTGACAGCATTACGAAGACAACAGCTAGTGGTGGTCGAATCAAAGAGAGGGATTGCAAAGATCATTTTTATGGCGTTTGGTCTCTGTTCACGTGCCTTCGCAATCGTAAATGATGAGCTTCTGCTGGGGATATACTGCTTCCTTGGTTGTCTTCCATGGGGGTCGGGAAAGGGATTTGCATTGCCATCCATACTTCGCACTTGTCTTCGATGTGGTTTGTTCCAAGATTCTGAAGTCCAAAAGATCTATGCCAATTATGCTAGAATATTTCAAGATGGATTGGACAATGGCGTCAGAGGCTTGGATGATATCCTGTATGTTGTGACAGCAACAAATGCTAAAGTGATACCACATTCTACTCGGCGATTCCTTGTGGGAAATCCCAGCCTTTTTGACAACGATGGGCGATGTGTATCCCTTCTGTGCGCTGTGTGCTCACTGAGCTCTCTCCCATGTCTTGGTCATAATTCCGAACTGTTCACAGACTCCCCACAGCTTTTGTCTTTCACCACGAAAAGTGATATTGTTGGTGTCAGCTCGTTGATTATGGAAGCACTTGGAGCGTCAGATTTTGACCTTGGCAAATATTCACAAATCGGGGTTCTTTTGATGGGATATCTAGCCTCTCTGAAGACGTTTATCGGTTCGAGTGATTTGTCCGTCGCCGGCTCATCTACTCTTCACACGTCCAAAGAGTCAAGGGTTTCACAACTGCCCACGCCACACAAAGGTACTGTCTTGGAAGTGCTTATGTCTTTCCTATCACCACATGTTTTTGAATCGAGGAATGAGGTTGTGGCGAATGATGGAACCTGTGGTCTCGTTGGCTGTCTTGAAGTGCTTTCGCTTCCTGGGCACTTTGCTGTTTTCAACGAAAAGATACTTGGCAGAGATGCCCTGATTGCAGAAGTTTCTACGAAACTGCTAGTTTCTCAGCTGGAAGGCCGCCCTAGGGCAGTATTTGATGGCCGAGAGTTTATAGACCAGGCAATAAAGCTTATCAAAACTCCCTCCGATCAACTACGAGAAAGCATTATCATGTCAACCTCGCCGCTATTGTTGGAATCGCTTGACACGATTCTATCAAAATTACCAACTGAAAGGGTCCATGATGCAATGGATACCATATGGCAAATGTGCCTCAGCGAAACCGAAGGTTCTTCATGGGCTCTGTCATTTCTAGATGCGACGAAGAGAATCTTGATTCGTGGCAACGAAGTGAGGACCTTCAACATTGCCCCCAATAAGTTGCGCATAGTGCAAACGTTCTTGCTACGAAGTGCATTCGAGGGACTAAGGAACACCAAATGGACTACCCGGTCTCAATTGGCGGAGAGAGCCATTGTGAAGCTCTATGCTCACTGTTTGGCAGAGATTCCCATAAACTCTCTCGTCGAAGTTGAGTTTTTTACGCTTACAGATCACGATGGCTTTGTTGGAGAAGCTCTACGATATCGCTGCATCATGATACTAGTTCGGCTAGACTACTTTGAGTCTGCTTCACGGGTGTCAAGTGAGATACAGGCAGCCATGTCCTGGTTTTCTCGGCAGCTAGTGTCATCATTGGATAGTACCTTTTCCAACAGCCTCTTGAGCATTTGCTGCTCAATGATGGATGCCACTGAATTGGAAAACTCCGATGGGCGCAAGAGTCTTTTGTTTATGCTTCTGGATAACCTCATGCTAGTTGGAGCCCAAGCAAGCATGATGGGTCTTCAAATGCTTGGTGCCCTCGTTGGTCAGTGGACCCGGGGAAGAGGTTCTGACGGTGATCTCTCTTTAGCCTGCCTATGCATACGCCCGCAGACAACGTGGCAAAGCATGCCCCCAAGAACAGCCCTGAAATTGTTGGAAATCCTTGTTCGAGATATGCCATACAACCTGGCGTCGTTTACGAAGAAAGAGAGAATCAAAGATGCTGTGTCAAATCGGCTCCATAGGATACATTCCAGATGGCTAGAGTATGACGTGAGCGAGAACAGCCTGATGTGTTTGAGACAGGCTGTTGCCTTGTGTAGAAGCGAGGAGTCCGAAAACAATGATTTTGATTACATGGGAAATACAATGTTGCAAAAACAGCAACAATAGAGATTTATTAAAAGTTTCAAATAGCATTTAGAATCCATTCCCATGTCGAATCGTCATGAATACGTTTGCCAATTCGGATGTTTGCTTGTCAATGAGCGACAGATCTTCATCATTTATTGGTACGTCTTTAAAGCCATCTGCTTTGTCCAACGTGCTCAAGTCTTTATTCTGCAACAATATTCCAACCTTTTCAGCGCATAGAAAGTAGAAGAAAAGGCACCTTTGTTCCGAGAGGACGAGAAGAGAGGAAAAGTAGTCGATCGAGCCATCTTGGCACTCCAGTCTATCACGCAGTTTTGATCCTTTGCAGCCATAGGCATCTATTCGCTCGTGTATCACTTGCTTCAGCTTTTTCAGTGCCTCCAACTCGTTCTCTATCTCTTCGTTTTGCTCGGTGTCTTCTGGAACCTCGTCTGCAGAAGCCGCACCATATATGTCCATCTCTTCCATTTCATCAGTACCATCGAGAAATGCATTCATGTCGTCATCCTCTTCCTCCTCCTCTAAACTGGCAGAAGATTCACCAAGTATCTGCTCCAAAATTTTTATGAACTTGCCATAAGTGTACTGTGGGATGTATTACGGGAATTTCAGGAAGTGAGGTTCAACTGCTCCAAATAGACACTCTAGCAGTAATAGTTGAAATGAAGACATACATCTTTTGGACCAGTTCTGAGTTCGACAGCGGGTGCTCCATCGAAACTGAACTCCAGGAAATCGTTTGAAGACCCATCTGTTTCAAGGTTGTGCTTCATGGCAAAGCCATAATTCAGGAGTAACTGGGAATTTCCTTTGGCACCATACGTCAAACGAAAGTGCTCGTGCGGCGCTATCTTGGCAGTCGCGCTTACTTCAACGGAACCATCGTCAAGTATTTTGTATTCTAGATTCTTCTTCTCATCCTTCCCCCTTGCATGATTGCATAAATCCAAAATCGGAATCATCATGATTTCATCTTTCGCCCCAGCAAACGCACGAGACGTGACGGCAGCTAACATGTCATCGAAAGCCTCAAATGTAGGCCCACCTTTTCCTTTTGGATGATTGCACAGAAGACGATAATCAGCTGTCACAGAGGACTTTTGTTTCTTTATTCGTTCCATTAAGGGCGAGCCCCCCAAACACTTCTGAAGAGTCTCTTCAGTCCATCGTCGAGGAAGTAAATTCCAAGATGACGGAGGGGGAAGCGTCTTGAGATAAGTTGGATCTTCACCTGCCAGTCTGTAGGCCAATATCAGGTCAGCAATTGCATTCTGAGCCTTACATCTATCATTCGTTTTGTCTCGAAGTTCTTGGATCCATGCATATTGGTCACACCCTGAAGGTGCCGAGAGAATTGATGATCTTGGAATCTTGAAAACGAGAGTTTTCTCATCGATTTCTGCTTCGCAAACGATGCTCCTGCTTTCCGGTAAAAATGTGATACCTCGATGTAAATATCCACCATTTCCAGTTACTTCCCCCACAATTTCATCCCACCAAGGTGGAGCAGATATTCGTTGACGCTTTGCCATCATACCTAAAGCTCGTAGTACCAATAGGATGAATGATGAAACTGATCAATGAAAAAGATCCAAAAGTTAGGGATTGTCATTTTGAATTCACTTGGAAAAGTGTCTCAGTCCACTTGGTCTAGGGGTATGATTCTTCCTTAGGGTGGAAGAGGTCCCGGGTTCGATTCCCGGAGTGGACCTTTTGCACTCGCTCTCAGAGAAATAGAGAACTCTTTTTTGCCTTACACCTCCCACCGAAAGCCAACTACAAAGCTGCTAAGAAATATCTTTATCATCACTATCGAGTTCAAAGTACAAATTTAATTATTTTCCTTGAAAGGACTGATAGAATTCTAGCATTTCTGGTGAAATTTGACGGTCCATTGATTCCAGTGTCTCAACGAGATGACGCATTGTGATTTTTGGTTTCAGACTAAGGTCACCCTGTTTCTCGTTTTCCTCTAGTGCAATCAAGGCAGCATTGCGACAGGCGGCTACAATCTCTGCGCCGGATAACCCACCACTAATCTTGCTGTCGGCTAATTGTTCAATCTGTGTAGCAAAGACAGCCAACATGTCAGATTCATTCCCAATAGTTGGCTAAACACGACGGACGAACGACTCACATCAATGTCATCATCGCATGATTTCCCCTTCAAACTGATGTGAAGAATTCTAGAACGACTTGCTTCATCTGGTAGTCCAACATATATTAATCGGTCCATTCGCCCAGGTCTCATTAGGGCATCATCCAGAAGATCTGGCCGATTTGTCGCACAGACAATAACAACTCGACGCTTCTGGCTATCATCCTGCTTACTATGGATCCCATCCAACTCTGTGAGTAGCTGGGACAACAAACGCTCACCTCCGGAGGAGCCTCCGTCTCTCTTCGTTGCAATCGCGTCCACTTCATCAAAGAATATCACGGAAGGACTTGCCAGTCGAGCTCTTCGAAATAGGGCAGCCAAGGCACGCTCACTTTCACCTAACCATTTGCTCAAGAGCTCCGGACCCTTAACCGCAAGAAAGTTCATATTTCCTTCGGTGGCAAGTGCCCTTGCCATTAGCGTTTTCGAACAACCCGGAGGACCATAGAGCAACACACCTCGCGGGGGATTTATTCCAAGCTTCTTAAAGAGATGGCCATGTGTCATTGGAAGTTCGATTGCCTCTTTTAGCTCTTGTTTCACCTTGTCCATGCCTCCAATCGATGACCAGAAGACCTGCGGGATCTCGACCGTGACTGCCTTGATAGCAGATGGCTTTGTAGCCCTGACGCCCCGTTCCAAATCTACCTTCACAACTTCAAGATTGTTTTGATCCACAGACTCAATATCTCGGAGGACTGTTATCCGGAGAGCTTCCTTTACAGCTAGCATCAAGTCGGCTCCTGTAAACCCTTTTGCGATTCGGCCCAGATGTAACCAATCCGTTTCTGAAAGTGTGGGTGCTTTTACCCCAATAGACTGGATGTGAAATTGAAGAATCTTGCTTCGAATTTCTGGTTCATCGGGCAGTGGAACTTCTATTTCCGAATCTAGACGACCAGACCTTCTAAGTGCTGGGTCGAGTAAGGATGGGTTAGATGTAGTAGCCAAGACCATTGATGGATATGTCGATGAGTAGGTTTTCACCCCATCAAGTAAGGCCAATAGAGTTGCTGATAGCCTATCTGCTCCTAGGTTGGTTCCTTCTCGCCTTGGACAAATCAAGTGAACGTCGTCTAAAACCACCAAACTTCCCGACTTCCCATCCCTTGGTCGTTGCGCATTGTCAAACATCTGTACCAATTGCTTTTCTGCTTGTCCAACAAGAGCTGTCTGTGATTGCAATGAAGCACAGCTAATGTGTTCAACATGAAAATGAGACTCAAGGCTTTGGGCCACTTGAAGAGCTAGTGATGACTTTCCAGTCCCACTAGCTCCATGCAATAGCACTCCTTTGGGCGGGCGGAGAAGATCTGAGAAGAGTTCTGGGTGCATTAATGACGTTGTGAGTATATTTTTGACCTCTTCTACCGTTTTGTCAAGTCCAGCAACAAGCGGCTCGCGTTCCTTGGATTCTTTACTTTCATCCTTTTGCTCCGAACATCCAAGCTTCACAGTAGTTTGGTGAGATATCAAATACAAGCGCAGGAGATCAACTTCTTCTTCATCAAGAGATTTTAGAAATTCGACAACCTCGTTTTCTCCTTTTGTATCGGTTGTGCTGCCCTCGATCGCCAGCTTGGACAAATCCTCCAAAACATTGTCTACCGAAGGAACTGACGTTCCCTTTACATTTGTAACCTTGCATTCGACCGACAGTCCTCGTAGCGATAACCGAAACGGAACGCCTCGTTTTAAAATGTAGGATCCAGAGAGTTGTGCCAAGATGAGCTGTTGTACTAGTCTCTCCATGCAGGTCTCGAATTTGTTGGAATCCTTGTCAACTTCTTCTACAGTGATGATAGAGGCTTTGCAGCACAGCAGCGACGCGACATAGTCTCCCAAATCGGATTGACGAACCACTGCCCATATGTTTCGAGGTGGTGCTCGTGCCGTTTTGTTGGTGTTGTTGGGAGTGGGAGTAGTCGCTTTCGACGGCGTTGAAATCAATTGGTCTCCTCCACCTCCTTTGGAAAAGGAGAATTTGGATTTCGATGACGACGGAGTGGGTACTGGCACCGGAGTTGTTGGAACGGGTGTCTTTGGTGTGGGGGGAATATCTGCCTCGTTACTCTTGGATGACGCTTGGATACCCAAGACGTCGTTTGCCAAGGTGACGGGATGAATGTGGCAGCTCCCGGGAGATAGTCGACCCTTCTTGGAACTCACTGGCGATTTTACTGGCGAATTCAGCTTCTCGCTACTATCGTAGATTTGAACCTTGGCGAGGGATGCATAAACATCCTCACTACTAGTTGCGTCTGACAGGATGAAGACTTCATCCCCATTTATCAAATCCAATGAGTCCGCATCGACTTGATTGAGAAAAAGAGTCGGAGAGTATTTCATGGACTTCTTGAGTGAACTAGTCGATGAGTGCAGTTGTAAGGATAGGAAATCTACGACAGGAGATGGGGCCGATTCTTCCTCCTTGGGAAAGATGTTCTTCTTCACATCGTTACCCCCACCGGTGGATGCGCGGCCTTTTTTCTTTTTCTTCGCCATCGTTTTCTCTCGTCCAGGAAAACGGCAACAATCTAGGGACTATATATGTGCATGGTCTTCCACTTCAGATGAAGCGTGTTGAAATGGATATTGAATTGATTTTATAGTGTTGACTTGATGGATGGTCTCCACTGGTCGAAGGGGTCGAAATATCCAGTCGACTACCTGGCCTGGATCGCTGAAACGGAGACTTCTTACTATTTCATTATTTACAGTTGTAGTACCCATTGAAAGCGCAGGAACCTATTGGACCAGCAGCCATCAACCGACTTTTTTTGCAAGAGCTTTCGATTTGGTTCTCGATTCTTCGATGGCAACTTCAGCGTTTTTAATGTATCAGTGCAGTTTTGGAGCGTTGCTGGATTGATGATGTAAGTTTCATCACATGGGATCTGATCAACTTCATTGATGAAGTGTTTCATTCGGTCACGCAATACTTTTCTTTCGCTCGCCTTCCATCTCTTCCAAAAATGCACGTCTGTAAATCCATAGCGCCCACAAAAGTCCTCATCGCAACCACCACTCTCCCAATAGGCCGCAGTATCCAGTAGCGCCACTGCTGGATGCTTTCCAGTCTTCCCATTGGGTTTCCTTCGATTGAATCTATGTGCGATGGAATGGGAAGAATTCCTCACTTCCCAAGTGAGAAGTGAATGCATCGTTTCTAGTGGCACAACCATGTCCAGGTCCAGCAGGAAAACGCTCGAGGTATCAGCAATGTGAAAGGCTAGGTTGCGAGCCCCTCCAATGTTCCATGCCTTGTCCGTCGTAATCTGAGCTATGCGCAATCTAAAGTGTGACTCGTACATGCCTGCTGAAATGTAGTCGACAGATCGAAGACCAGGCGGTGAACCATCGTCGACCACCAAAATGGTCAGTTGTTTCTGCACCTCCATTGGGTACGAAGCAAATGTTTGTAACTGTCGCAACAACATGGAAGGATTTGCAAAATGCAACAAGGCCACAGTGACTCCATTGGATCGTAAGATATCAGACGGTTTGTCATCGTCACAAGTTAGGTGCCGAGCGGTTGTGAAAGGGCTCGGGATATCTTTACCGACGCATGAATTTTGGACCGTCCACTCCGAAGGCATACCCCAAGGAGGGCTGAGATGGCAAGCTTTGGCGCTGTATCTTCTTCCAATGACTAAGGTGTCCTTGTTGGGTGCGCCACCTTCTTGTAGATCTGCAGTTTCTGATGCTCTTCCACGATGATGCACATTAGAGTCATGGATACGAGCAGGTTCTCCGACCAAGAAATCATCTTGTACCACATCTTCCCATCGGATTCTTAGAAGCAATTTCGTATTGGTAGACACGACCACTGCAACCAGAAGTAGTCCGAAAATGACTCTTGCAACTCTTCCCAAACATCTCATCTTCAGCCCGACAACATCAATCTACTTTGTTCGCAAACAGCACAAACAAGGCAACATCTACCGTATACTCTACAAACAAGGTCAAACTATCGTTTCATCGTCCCCACCTAGCGTACTTTAGACTGGAATCTTTGCCTTTACTGTCTTCGACGGGAGAAATCTGTTGTAATCATGTCTGGTTTTATGCCGCCATCCAGACAGGCGGACGAAGTACAAACACTTTAGTTCGTCATTCGTTATTTTTTTTAATAGCTCAAGCTCAAAGCGCTACATACTTCAAATCGCATCGAATTCCAATTTTGTGCTCACTTTTCTTTGGCAAGATCTTTGTATTTTTATTGTATTCGCCGAATGAGAACCTATATTGTCTCAGAAGATCTGATCTGATGTGAATGTCGGACGTGTTGATATCGTACGTATACGTGCAAGTATAGTATGGATCTCACGTCAGTTTGTTGCTGCCACTATTTCCACTTCGCTCCTTCTCCATTGCGCCAGACCCATCACTTCACTCACTCACCGCGGTCACAACTATTCCAACTACATATGTTGATAACTTCTGCGGAGCGGTATCCAGGTAGACATTGCTACGAAAGAAGGAGGAAACAAACTCCTATAACAAACTGATGGCTCCACATACTTTTCCGAAACTATTAAGAAACTCACCGTGTCACAGAACAATGGAAGAAAAATGAAGTTTAAAGCCAAAAACAAACGGAACTTAGTCTTCAATCGCCTTGCCTATAGTTCAGACGGCGAACTATTTCTTGAGAAAGTTCTGCAGTCAGAAATCCAGTGTTGGTTGGATTATGTCATCGAGGGGATCAAACGACTAGCCACCAACGAAAGCTGGGTCGAAGGAGTAGACATGCCGGACGAATGAATGGTTGCTACCAGGACCTTGCCGGGACATGTTCAAGCATGTGGCACCTGTTGCTCTTGCATTTGAGTGCGAATTTTTTCAGGTGCTATCAGGATTCATCAAGGTCCCCAAGGGAAACGACGGTCGTGCGATGGCCTCATGTGTGCCATTATTGTTGATTTGTTAATAGCCGCATTCGCGGCTTCCATCCAACACTATGCGGTGGCCAGAAAAGTCTTTAAAAAATTGGAGGCGAGTGGCATCCTTGAAGTGTTTCTCCGCTGTACAACGGCTCCCTCCAAATGGAGCGATATAATGTTCGGATGCTTTACATGCTCCAATTTTCGGCTCCATTTCTATACAAACTATTCCAGAAGGGCAACCCGTGTGGGGACACTTTGCAGGCGATACTAGATGGCACGGATGGAAATAGAATCGACAGACCGCCACAAGTCGAGAAGAGGCTACGAGCTATTACCTCTGCCAGGGTGAAAGCGACGATTGCACCACACTGCTGTACCAGGGAGTCTTGGAACGTTTCCTAGAATGCTTGTGTTTCGAATTTGTGCTGCGGAAGGAATCAATCGCCAATTGTGGATACCTCCAGCAACTGTGCCATGGGTCACCTAACGTTCTGTGCTCGTTGCAAGAACGTCCATTATTGCTCGAAAACGTGTCAACGAGCGCATTGGATGGACCATAAAAGGGTATGCAAAGCTTTTGAAAGAGCTGAACTTAGATGGATAGAAACAACTGGATTCGTCATGAAGAATTTCGTAGCGGAGCGCCACGAATACATCTATCTCAAACTGACCGAAGCTTGCCACACTCTTGGTGTAAATAGACGTGAACTAGTTTTGGAGCTGGACTTCGTATGCAAGGATGGTGAAGTTTCAGCAATGGAGAACCCGCCTTAGTTGAGAATAGCGAAAATGAAGGATTACCATATTGTTAAAGATCTGTGTTTATGGGTATTGGTTTTCAAAGAGCGACACCCAGACTTGTATGATAACCTTGCTGGGCAATTGTCAAAGGCCGCGTCAGAGCCATGTTGTCGTGTTCTATACCGTGCCCCAAGTGGTCTTCTCCCGACCATGACCTTGAGTAAGTTTGCACCATAGCATTTGCCGTTCTTGTGCAGACTCTCTCCGTGCTCTTACATCTTTCCCTCTGTCCTGTTTTCGCTTCACTACTATCAGCATTTGCAAAAGATCATGGAATGGCAGCCGATCAGTGCATTGCAGCAAATGGCCAAGACTAACAGCGATATGGTGCGATCTCCAATTCACAACGCATTCAAAGATACGTCATTCCTAAAAGTTTGTTTATATTGCATCTTCTTTTTTCTTAATTTCTGGCATGGTCTCCTGCCAATGTACTGTATCAAATTCTATATGGACAATCTAACAGGATCGGGCATCTTCTGCCGTTTTTGAGTAGTTCCTGGACTCTTTCCGAAGAATATCCGGCAAACACACGAGTAGGAAATGGTTCAGAGGCTCTACTGGTTTGCAAATTGCGGGTTCAATATTTCCTCTGGTAGCGTTTCAGTAGGATGGATTTCTCCATCACCTTCTGCCGACAGGACTTCGCTGAGCTGCCGCAAGGATTCCTTGTAGGAACGAGTTACGTTGGGTGTAATGAGTTGCGTATCACACTGATAGGGTTGAACCCGCTCCGAATGACCAATGAGACTCCGCAGCTTTCGAAAGGCTCCCATTTGTCCCTTTCCCTTCAGCAAGGAAATCGCCCTTCCCGATCTGCCGGCCCGAGCCGTTCGGCCACATCGATGAACGTAGGTCTTGGCAAAACCAGGCACATCGTAGTTGATCACCAGCGTTACATATTCAAGATCCATCCCTCTTGACATCCCGTCGCTGCAAACAAGGATTGATAACCTACTACTGTCTACATCATTGCAGTCATTCACAAGCTTTGCTTTTTGTTGCTGAGAAAGACTCGATGACATTTCCGAAACAGGGGAGGTCATTTCATCAGTATGACCTATCTCACTCTCAAGAGGTGCAAACACATTTCGCCATAACAGCTGTAATAAACGTGTCAAACGATGCGTTGATTCTAAACTTGATGTGAACACGACAACCAACTCCTTCTTTTTGGAAGCCTTTTCGTGCTGTTGTTGCATGAATTCCATAAGCAAGGATATCAGCACCAGTGGTTTCTGTTCGGCTTTACACGAAATAGTGAACTCGTCCAGTTGTGGAGGCATAGTATATACGCTTCTGCTGTTTGAAGTATCCGCATTCATTGTAAATTGTTTTGGGTGGACAAGTTGCAATGCTGCTAACTTTTGTGGATCCTTTGTCAAGGTGGCTGAGTACAGCCATTTTCGTAATTGCAAAGTTTTGGAGGAGCGCCTAGGATTCACAATAGATGAATTTGATGCCGTGTCCGAGGATTGCTGAGCTTGGTCTAGGACACGGCGGATCCAGCCGTGATATGACTGACTCAGCAACCTATCTGCTTCATCAATGATCAAGAAGCGAAGATGCTCCAAAGAAAAGCCTGGAGTATTGTCCATGTGATCCACCAATCGACCAGGGGTGCATACAAGAACGTCAACAGCGCTCACAGTGGTCGGTTTCACGTCAATTCCACTCGTTGCAAGCTCCTCCTTCATGTCACTTTCTTCGAGAGCTTGGTCTAAAGCTAGTTGCAAGTTTCCAGGATGCAGATGGCTCCGGAACGAAGCAAGATATTGTGTTGAACTCCTTGCAGTATGTCCAGAACCAACAACCAGAGCTTCTTGCTCCTCTTGAAAATTTGACTGACCAATTGCTAGCCCGATCTTTAGATCTGAGCCCTTGGCGTAGTGCTCAAATACTTGGTAGACTTGATTTGCCAAATCCCTGCTTGGCAGCACACACAAGGCTCTCAGCCTTCGAATCTTTCGAGTCGACAGCGTCTGTAAGACAGGCAAAACAAAGGCTAGGGTTTTTCCACTTCCTGTAGGAGCTGCAACACAGACGTCTCGTTGCCATCCACTGGTGCTATCGTTGGCAGAGCTCAGGACGTCCGATAGAACAAGTGACTGAATCGTGAAGAAATTGTTGTATCCATCGGCCTGCAAGTTGTTGACTAGAAAATCAGAAAGCTTCCACCGTCGCGCTGCCTCCAACAATGGAAGTTTTGACATGTGCTCCGCTCGTTGCATCTCGTTGGTAGGATCAAAGGGGGTCTCGTTCTCTTCGACGTCCATCGATTTGGATTCGGCCTCTTTCTCTGGTATCTCTTCATCGTCGGCGTCGTCTTCCTTGAAAAGTTCATTCTCTTCTATGTCCAAGTCATCAAAAGCTTCTTCATTGACTTTGCTGTTTAGCTTGCGCTCTTTCGATGTGGCTCCTTTGGTTTCAGGAGCAATCACTGTAAGAGATGATGGTTTCGTTTCCTTTTCATGCTGTGGTTCCTCTCGTTGCTTCTTGACTTCCTCTGACCCTTCTCCTTCATCAAAACTGCGCTTTCTCGACTTCTTTGACTTTTTCTTCTTCTTTTCTTTTGCTTTCTCCTCTGCACGAGGATCAAACCTTCCAATCTGAAACATACTGCAGCGTCGGTCCTACTATATTTTCTTGATGTTTGGATTTTGTGATCTTGAATTTCTTTCATATTTGTATTGATTGAACGCTAGACTTCATGGTATGTACGTCACCCGGGAAATCCTTCCCCCTCCCCCCTTCACTCCAAATTCTCACCTTCCAGAGCTTCGTTTGACAATAACCAATGCAATAGCGACATTCCTTTGAGTAGTCCAAGGAGGTAAAAACAACTTGTATCTTACAGTTAGTAGTGTATGCTGCAAGCATCATCAATGTATATGTATTTTTTTACGTTGGCGAGTCTGGCTGAGGGCTATTGGCGAAACTTGTGAAACAGGAAGCGAGATGATCTACGTCTTTAGACCGATCCACTACTGTGACCACTATCATTCTGTTCCTCCTTCTTTGGACCTGTTGATTTCAATGCCGCAATTGCAGCATCGAGCCTGGCCTGTTGTTTCATATTGTCGATTTGATACTGATCCAAGATTGCACTAGCTGCTTGTCGCCTCATTGCTTCATCCAATAGAGCTTGTGATTGAGCACTTAGTGCCCGTTTCCTCTCTCCAACCTTTGCGTTGAGCTCATTAATGCAGCCTTGCAACTCGGCAATCTGGGCATCTTTGCTTTCTATTTCTATCGTTTGTTCTTGCCAGCTTGCGTGAACACTATTCAGTTGGCCTTGTGTTTCCGATAGGTCGTTCTTGACTATGGTGAGCATGGATTGGAAATAGTTTGCTGCTTGAGTTTTTTCAGACAAGTTCTGCGTCAAGCTGTTGTTCGATTCCTGTAGCTCTGCAATTTTTTTCTTGAGTTCGTCGTTTTCATTGTGCTCGTCAAGTGGGAGGCGGTCATTTGCGTTGAAAGAAAGCGGCCTGTTCTGACCATCATAGCTTCGTCGGTCATTTCCATAATGCTCGTAGTTCTGGACGCTATGATTCAAATTAGAATAAGTCGATCCCTCCATCTCTTCACTAGAGATTTGAATCTGGCCATCATCGTGCTCGTTGCTTGCAAAACGACAGTTTGGCTGGGGACCAGGAGCTTGGTGCACCCTATCACTGTTGTTCCAATCTCTATTGTCGTTGCGGTGGTAATGCCCGTCACTTCGATCAGCGCAGCGACGATGATTCGATCCATAAACAAAGTTATCAGAACTTCTGTCCGTGTATTCATGATATTCATTGCTCTTGTACGATTGCGTCGGATTGGAAGCAGGAGGTTCGTAGAATTGTCCATCCAGCCTTCCAGCCCGGCTTTCATAATCCTTCAAAAAGTCGCCAAAACATTGGTATTTCGGGGGTGGACCCGTGTAGCGCTTGTGAGGGAAGAGATTAAAGCGATAGGAAGGATCCTTTCTCCATCCCCCAACCCCATTCAAGCAAAATATTTTGTCCCTCACTTCCGCGTTCGCAACCTCCAACACACCAACAAGGTTGGGCCCTGCACCTTCATATCTGTATCTCAGTACTCCAAATTCACCACGGCGAGTAAGGCCATACTCAGATAGCTTTGCGTTGAAGAAAGACAAAATTTCATTCTTCGCTTTCGTCGGTGGGTCACGGAGGAAAAGGCGCACCCTAGTTGCATCACCCTGTGCCCTGTAAATAGCCCATGAGTCGAATTGCGGTTTAATGCACCCAGTCCAGTTGCGTCCAATCTTGATGATGCCAGAGTTCGACCACGGAATTGCATTTAGCCAGCAGATCTGTAAGGCAAAGCTAAATTTTAGTATGGTAAACGCTACCGAAACTCGAAAGACTGCTCCCTGGCATTACCTTCTTCTGGCATTCTGCGGTTGCCATATCCAAAACACAGTATCCACTCGGGTCTCCGCTACGGTAACTGATAATTGCTTTCGGCGTATGTTTGTCAACCAGCCCTTCATCTCTCATCACTTGATTCAAAAAAGCGACAGTATCTGCCAAACTCTTGCCTTGGGGGAACTCATTTAGGAACACTGGGAGCCGTTCCATCTTTCTACTGTCAGACACCAGATTTCTATCAACTTGATCAAAGTGCTGATATTTCCCACTCGAAGACAAGCGTTTTGACTCGATTGCACCTTCCGCCCTAGACTCCTGTGGCGATAGATTCGTTGATTCGATTTCCTTTGGCCTCTTTTCTGGCCGACTTGAACTCGTCTTTGTATCGAACTCCACCCGTTTCCCTGCCGTTTGTCGTCCCTCTTCGGAATCTTTATTCAACGCTTGGATCATGCTTTGCAGCCTGAAACCGCCAGAGTTTCGTCGGGAGGAGGACATTGTTCAATGCTGTAGGTATGTGCAATTGTAGAGCTGTCTGTATATTCTATTGTATTGTTGGATGCTAATCGTGGATGTATTTGGAATTTATGTGTGACATTACCGCCAAAATTCGAGCCAGCCGGCCAAAAGATGTCAGTAGTATATTTCATTAGTAAATTCGAAAATACTGTACCTGTTGACGATGTATTTTGAGATATTTGGAGATTGGAGAATGCGGAGCAGAAACACGAAACGAGGCATTAGACAACGGGTCATCTTGTGTAAGATTGAACAGTGCCTGACAATAATGTGAGAAGTATTGACAAGATCAAAGGAAGATCAATACATAAGGAGAAGTGAGTTGAATGTAGTCATGGCAAGATACCAGATGCTGTGCATGACTGAGAAGCAAGACTAGAAAATAGAGTAAGGAATAATTTAGCTCACAATTGCAAGACCAATAGATTTTACTTCTAGGGAGATTCCAACAAATACCTAAAGTGCTTTGAGTGACATTAGGGGCTCAATTGTTCACATGCAAATGGTGCAAAGCGAATAGCTATGTATTGGACATCGGCACCATCAAGGTTGAAGAGGTAGCGTCAAGTCTAGTGATATGATGGAAAATAGCGGAAAGAAGATGTGTCCGTTCAAGAGTAATGGGTAGTTGGATATGACATGATCGATCAACCAGAAGCTAGAATGTCTGTGTCAGTATCACAGCCTATCCATTGACAAGACCTAAACCTTAACATCAAACTGATGCTTGTCGCAATCGAAACCCTCCTTCTTCTGCAAGGCATTCCATTGGTTTTAGAGAAGATATCATAGCAAGAGATCCTTCCATGTTGTTTCATATTCGTCGTTTGCATTTCATCCACGAATGCCTCGGCTTTTCGTCACTTTTCGGTCTCGTTCAAAAGCGCTTCGGACTTGGTAGCTATTTCCCGTTGCCTCTCTACCATCCATGCATTGAGTTGGACGACACTACCCTGTAATTCTGCTAGCTGGCAATCTTTAGTTGCAATGATCTGTGCCTGTTCTTGCCAGCTATTATGCACGGAATCAAGTTGGCATTCTGTTGTTGCCAGCGCCTGCTAGCTTTCGTTCAGACTAACTTTGAGACTGGAAGTTTCTTGTGTTTTCCCTGCCAGGCTCTGGTTCAAAGAGTTGTTTGATTGCTGAAGCTCGGCAAGTTGCTTTCTGAGTAGTTCGTTTTCAGCATGCTTGATATCTAAAATGCGCTGTTTGCGCTTGTCATCATGCTCGTGATTGGCAAGGTGACGGTCCAAAGTCGAAGTACTGGGAAACGATCTGCAAGCTCTGGCATCAAAACTGCGGTCATGCTGGCCTTCATTAAGAGGGTAAAGCCGATGATACGACCGACAAGTGGACGATTGGTGCAGCCGATTGTCAAAACTTTGTACTCGTCGATGGTATTTCTTGTGGAGAATTGGTACTCATCATTGGGATCATTGGGGTCGTTACTTGCAGTCTAAAGCGGTCAGCTGTTTGTGGAGATGACATGTTTGTGACTCCCAACAGTGTTTTGAAAATGATGATGGGTGATGAAACTTCACCTCGAGATGATCGACATTCCATTGGATTTCAATTCAAGTACACACAAACCTTACGTAGCGTCAGTACTTTACTTTTGGCGCGAAACGAAACGAAACGAAGCTATTGAAGTACTTCCGATCTTTGACACTTTCAACTTCGTGATCACACACCAAATCCACAGCAACTTTATGTTTGCCACTACCTACTTATTCCTTTTGTGAAGACGAATTACAAGCTGAAGGAACTGATAGAAGACGCGCTATTTCCCAGTCTAGTGTTTGACGATAGAATGTTCTCAAAGGCGAATGTTCGAGTGATTCGGAGGTAGTGATGATGGATCGATGACTGACTCATTGCCCCATTGCAACGGGCCCAATGGCAAATCTACAAGTCGCTCGAACTTCCTTGCTATCCTCCCACATGACTAATCTCCTCCTTCTTTGTTGATTTAGGTCGATTCAAAGCGGCCATGGCAGAATTAATTCTTGCCTGTTTCTTCCTGTTTCCCGTCAGAATCAGACCCACAATTTTCTCGGCCTTCTGGCGCTTTGTCGTTTCGATCAGAAGTGCCTGCGATTTAGCAGCCAATTCCTTGTCACTTTGGTCAGCGCATTCCGAAAGTTTGTCGACGCGACCTTGCAATTCTGCAAGCTCGGCATCTTTGCTGGCGATAACTTGTGTCTGCTCTTGCCAGCTTTGATGTACAGCATCCAGTTGCCATGTGGTCGTTGCTAGCTTTTCCTTTACTTCGCTGAGCAAGGATCGGAAGCCGTTTGCTGCATGCGTTGAATCTAAGATACTCTTCTTCAAGTCGCCATTGGATTTCTGTAGATCGGCTACTTGTTTCCTGAGTTGCGCATTTTCATCTTTCACTTGAGACGCAAGCTGATTTCTAGAGTTGGAACCCAACGACCTGTGTGCTGCCTCATCAAACAGTTGCTTCCTCCCTCTGTCGCTCTCAACAAAAGTTGGAACGTGATGGTCTTTGCTGCGATTAGGCGATGCAGCAATCGGAAGGTGCAAGTTCGGGTAGCTGCGATCATTCGATTTCGAAAAAGGCGATCCTTGTGCTTGATCATCACAGCTTGGGTCCCGGGTTGCATCACGCCCGCTTCTTTCGAACTGGTAAGCTGATCGGGAAGGAGACGGGTTCTGGATCTCGAAATTCTTCAGGAACTCGCTGAACCATTTATACTTTGGAGCAGGACCGACGTAGCTTTGATGAGGCTCAAGATGGAAACGGTAATTTGGATCCTCCGTGCATCCTCCAATACCATTCAAATAAAGGAGTTTTTCTTGCATTGCCCCGTTTGGAACTTCGAATGAACCAACATTTGGAGTGAGAAATTGGAATCTGAGTACCCCGAGCTCGTCTTTTCGGGCCAGACCGAATCGCCACATTGCAGAGTTGAAGAATTGCACAAGGTCATGATCTTTGTACCAGTTTGGTGGATTGCGCAGATACACCCGGATCAAGCACCGATCTCCTTGAGCCTTGAACACTGCCCAGCTATTGTACTGTGGCTTGATTGACCAGTCGGGCCCCGAAATTCTGATGATACCAAAGTTAGACCACGGAATTGCATTTAGCCAGCATATCTGTAAGGCAAATTTTAGTAAGGGAAACGCTACCGAAACCCAAAGAAAACACCGGGTTGTTACCTTCTTCTGCAACTCAATGTTGAGCATCTCTAAAACAACAGTTCTCTGTTCGCTGCGATAGCTGACGATGGCCTTTGTTGTTTGTTGATCAACAAAGCCCTCGTCTCTCATCACTTGATTCAAAAAGTCAACAGTATCAGCCACACTCTTGCACTTAGGGCGATGTACGAGATGGACTATAACACATTCTTTCTTCTGATCATCGGGGACCATGGGAGGATTGATTTTTGCACACGACGGCTCATTTCGCCCATCTCCGGGAGTGCTTTTTGGCGCTACCACTTCTTGTATTTTTGGCTCGTAAGACATATCCATTGATTCTCCTTCGGCTAGGACAAACTCATCATAAGACTTGTATTTTGATGGAGGACCCGTCCAGTCGTCATCGCGTTGGCATCTCACGGTGGAGCTTTTCAGCCCATTCTTCAATATCATTCCATTGAGCCAGCAAAGTGATTCCGCCTGTCTTCTCGATCTCATGCTCATCCTGAATGTTCCTGGTAATATTAGATGCCATGAACAGAATGAGTTGCCGAAGCTGAGCCCATGACTCCTCAGAGTTCGTCCAAGTTCGGAAACAAGTTCGTCTCCTGTCATGAGGTCAGGAATCTGTTCCAGCGTCACCAAGACAGTTGATTCGATCTCCTTCTGTTTTTTGCTGGGGCCTTTATTAGATCTATAA